GGCAACAAATTAGCCAGGAACACACAGAAGGCCGTCCTCTATGCTTTCCAGCACGGAGCCTGGCACAAGGTGGCACTCAAATGCCTGTCCCACTGCAAGCTAGGGGTGACACTGTCTACAACCAGCTGCCTGACTGTGGCTAAGTCACTCAACTTCTCTGGGCCTTAGGTGTTTCCATCTTCAAGATGAAGGAATCAGACCAAATCAGGGATGCCAGAGCAATGTGACCCCCCGAGTCTGGAGCAGACAAAAATCACTGATCTGTCACTATTTCCTACTGGACCCAAATTTGAGCTTCCAAATCCTTCTCACTTGGGCACACTGGGCCCACACCCATCTGTAGGAGTCGAAGCTTGGCATAACTAAAGCCAGCAGCCTCCCTTGGCAGTCTGTTGGTGCTAAATCTACTCCTTCGAATTGTTCAGTTCTCTTGGGATTTGGCACTCAGATTAACAAAGACAGGAAGTGGACAAATGACAAAAGCAAATGCAACAGCAGAGAGTTTCTTAAGACTGGGCAGCCCACTGGACTGTGTGTACCTCACTGTACAGCACAGCCAGGAGCAGCAGACTCAGGACAGACCACATGAGCTCTGAGTCCGGGCTTCCACCTGCTGGCTGTGTGACACTGGGCAAGAAGGTGATGTCTTTATTTCTTGATTTCCTCAGTGACAAAAATTCCAACAGTACTTACATCGTAGGGTCATTATGAGGATTCAATGGATTAATATGTGTAAAATACAAGTGTTTAGCACACAAAGTACTACATGAACATGTTTCAAAAAAGCTAATGGAAAATGGTGCTAAAAGTTTATTTTGGTGCAAATGATTTTTTGAAATCCACACAGGTTTTTTATAAGATAATTTTCCCGTGAACTTTTTGAAGAAACCTTAGATACATGGATTTCAAAACTTTCTTATACTAAAATAAATTAAGCTTTTAATCACATTTTCACAAACTTTTTCAAGTACCTCGTATATAATCAAAGTACTCAAAGCCATCACTGAAGTGGACAGTATTTAAGAGATGAGGAAGCTGAGGTTCAGAGGAACTAAGTTGTCAAGGTCACACCAACCTGGTTAAGCAGCAAAGTCAGACTCAAATCCTGGTTCCAAAACCTTTGCTCTTGGCCACAAGACTATATTGCACCTCAGCAAACAAACTCTCCGCTAAGAGAATCAATGGTGGAATAAAGATGATTCTTGATCATCTGTAGGGGCTTGCTAGACTGGGGCCACCACACTCCTGCCTGCCAACATTGATCATTTCCAGGACCCAGCCACTGCTTTTAAGCTGGTTCTAGAATGCTGCCTACTTGGAGACCCTGCACCCACACCATCACTAGAGAGAAAACACCAAATACAAGCATCAGCCTGCAGAGAAGCAGACACACGGAGTCTCTAACTTCGGAGAAACAGGGGAGTATTGAGATTCTGGTGCCTGTATTTGTAGTTCATTCCATCTAGTGCCTTATTTCTAAAGTCACTTATTCAAGAAGTGAAGAAACAGACAACTCCAATCCACTGGTTACATTCTCCAAATGCCCACATGGCGGCTGAGACAGGCCAGGATAAAACCAAGCGCCAGAAACTCAATCCAGGTGTCCCATATTGGGGGCAGGAACCCAATTACTGGAACCATCAATGATGCTTCCCAGGGTCTACATTAGCAGGAAGCTGGACTCAGGAGCCAGAACTGGGTATCAAATCCAGGTAGTCTGATACAGGACACAGGCATCTCAACTGGCACCTTCATCGCTAGACTAAACATCCTTCCCAGTGCCTTCTTTTAGAAAGCAAGAAAGGTGGACTCTGTGCATCACCAAGGCTGGTGCTTGCAGTGCCCGGAACAACAGAAAAGAGATCAGAGATGGGTTTCATTCCTGCCTCAATTCAAAGACTGCAAACCCCAGGTTAGTCTGTTAAGCAGGTCACTGACTGGAACTCAGCAGTTTGAAGCAGGTGACATGGAACTGGTGCATTCTCCCATTACGGCGACTCCACAGGAGTGGGACACGGCAGGAAAAGGTCCTCCGACATCAGAATACATTACCAGGTAGGACGCCCAGCTCTCCACCTACATTTTTAGAAACCAGTTCAGTGGCTCCCACTGCTCCTCTGACTGCACGGATGACCAAGACAGGAAATGTTCTAGAAAAATATGGAAACACCTTTCCCTCCAAAGGCTCTCAGGCTGCTTACAGAAAAAAGTAGGTCCCACCAAGACCAAAAACTGTTTACATTCTAAATGGCTGTTTCTTTTGCAGATCAATTACCCTCACACAGCACGAACAGAAACCACCTCTCTGGGCTGGTAACTGACTCTTAACAACACTGCCACGGGAGAAACTTGGGAGTTACCTAGAAGGGGAACGAGTTTTAGCAAGAAACACTGTTTCTACCGTCAGCATTTGCTCCATGAGTACAACATACAAGAAGTGAAAGTACATTAAGGGAAGCAAATTCAGAGAAAGAGTGAAAGGAAATGTTGAACAAAATTTTAACAAAGCAGGGACGGAAAGCACTGAACAACGCAGTGGTTACAGGAAGCCTGGCTTGGAACCCAAAAGACTCAGCCACTTACTGTGTGATCTTGTAGAAGTCACTGAACTACCTCCTCCTGTAACTAAAGGAGCCCAAGTGCTACTTCAGTTTCCTTCTCTGAAAACTGGTAATGGCAACAGTATACTGTCCTTAGGGTGTTAGTGAGACGTAAATGATACAAGAGAAAGGTACCTTTACAACTCAGTTTTTTGGCACTGTAACAAAGTATCTAAGACAAAACTACTTATGAAGGAGGGCTTGTTTTAGCTCATGATTTTAGAGATTCACAGTCCAGGATCAAGTAGGCCCCAATTGGTTCAGACATTGAAAACACATGATGGCAGCGGTGGAGCGTGTGCAAGATAACACTGAGGGGTCAGGAGGAAGGAAGAGCAGCTGGGCCTGAGTCAGGCTTTTTTTTAAGATTTTATTTATTCAAAATTCAGAGTTACAGAGAGAGAGGCGAGGCAGAGAGAGGTCTTCCATCCAATGGTTCACTCCCCAGTTGGCCACAATGGCCAGAGCTCTGCCGATCCGAAGCCAGGAGCTTCTTCCGGGTCTCCCACATGGGTGCAGGGGCCCTCGGATTTGGATCACCTTGTACTGCTTTCCCAGGCCATACCAGAGAGCTGGATCAGAAGAGGAGCATCCGGGACTAGAACCAGCACCGTATGGGATGCCAGTGCTTCAGGCCAGGGAGTTAACCCACTGAGCCACAGCGCCAGGCCCCCTAATTCAGGCTTTATTACCAACCATCTCCTCACTACTACCTTTCAGTCATGCCCTTAGGAACCTAACGACCTCCCAGTAGCCCCACCCCCTAAACATTGCAGTTGTATTATGTTTCCATCCTCTTTCCAGGTGACAGGATGCCTTGGGCCTAGTGGGTGGGTTGGGGTGGGTGGAGGGACAATCTCTGGAGATAGCCACACTAAGATCCAAACCATGGTAGGACTGCAGCTGGAGCACGAGCCAACATTATTCACCAGTTTGCCTTCATACATCCTTTTACCTGAACTGTATTTGGCAGATGTTTAGAATGTTTACTATGTACCAGGCAGAGTCTGAGGACTCGATTTTATAGAAGGAAGTCAATGGTTAGACTGACTAGACTAACGAGCCAGATTTAAATCTGGGAGCATTAGTACTCTTGAGAACTACATGAAAAATGGTTCCCATGGAGTCCGGCACGATATCTGCCACAAAGTCCAGAAGGAAAGGTGGATTCTGACAACATCAAGGGCAGGCTCCATTTGCCTTTGACAGACAGGAGGCTGAGTGGGTTACCTGATCTGCTTTTCCTCTCCCCATTTAGCCACATCCTTTGCTGCCAGCTCTTGCATCCCAGGTTATTTCCTAGCTCATGTCAAATCTGGCTCTTCTAGAAAAATGAAAGGACCTGGCAACTTGAGAGCTTGAAAGGCAAGGTAATTTAAAAGACCCAACTAGTTAGGAGTAGTAAAGTGGGACACAGCCAGAGGGGTCTGCAGGCCCTGGTAACGTCACCTCTTCCAGTGGATGCTAGTTATACGGACACATCTACCTTAAGAAATTTCAACAACTTCTACAATCAAGATCTGTGTATTTTCTATATGTTATGTTACAGTGACAGATTAAAAATAGGACCCACCCCTCCCATTATCTAAAGCATAAAGCAGTCCTTCCCAACAGGTGTGCCACAACTGGGTCGAGTCACCTGTGGCAGCAAGCAGTCTGGTCAGCTTGCCCCAGGCAATGTAAAGATCCCATCCCTTTTCTGGGTAAGAGCAGTAAACAGTGTTCTTTGATATCAAATGAACAGCATCTTCAGTCACACTTCTTCCAGCCAGTATCAATTTATTTTTATTTTAATTTCTTGATGTTTAATTAGATTCTTTTGCCATCTCCAACAAATAAAGGAGAGTATACTCCATTTCAAGGTAAATATCTCTAGGCTGCTCTTTTTTCTTTTTTTTAAAGTTTTATTTATTTATTTATTTTTGACAGGCAGAGTGGACAGTGAGAGAGAGAGAGACAGAGAGAAAGGTCTTCATTTTGCCGTTGGTTCACCCTCCAATGGCCGCCGCAGCCGGCGCACCATGCTGATCCGATGGCAGGAACCAGGTACTTATCCTGGTCTCCCATGGGGTGCAGGGCCCAAGCACTTGGACCATCCTCCACTGCACTCCCTGGCCACAGCAGAGCGCTGGCCTGGAAGAGGGGCAACCGGGACAGAATCCGGCGCCCCAACCGGGACTAGAACCCGGTGTGCCAGCACCGCAAGGCGGAGAATTAGCCTAGTGAGCCGCGGTGCCGGACAGGGCTGCTCTTTCTGACATCATTCTCCATCTCACCCTTCCCTGGGTGATCAACCTCCCATTCTCTTCCAACTTCGTTTCCCCATAAGCGACGGATCGAAAAACCTAAAATAAACTTTGATTACTTCTCAAGTCAACAGATACAATACAGACTACACAATGGTTTTCTCTTTGAAAGTTTATTGTTATTTAAAAAAAAACCCTAGACTTTACACATTTTACATTCACCTTTCAGAACATTTAATGGTACCAGTTAAAGACACTATATAAAAAACCCACCAGCTGCTTGAAACAGCTGCAGATTTACCGTGTTCTAGTATTAAAGTGGTTTGAACTCTTTGGAAAAATTGGTGTAACATTAAGCCCTAAGATTTCAAATTCCCAGATGAGGAACAAAAATTATCAATCAGGAGGAAATTAGTAAAAATTCAAGGTTAAAAGAAAATGACAGGAGAAAAACAAAACAAAAACATTGTGAAAAATAGGATTTCCCTTTCCCTCCCCAGGGTTAGGTTAAAAAATGCAATCAACTCTGTCTCACACCACTCCCCACCGCCCCACCATTTCTCTTAGAAAAGCCACCCAGTCCTAAACACGGGATCTTGTACACAAATACATGTAGCCTGATTGGCAGATCAGCCTCTGGGATCGAAATCTGGCCCCCGTCAAAAGTTTAAAAAAAAAAAAAATAGTAAGTTAGGTAGTTACACATTCTTAAATACTGTTATCCAAATGAAGAGAAACATCCTGGCTTTGGTATGGCAACAGGAATCTATCTGAAAAACAGGATGGCTGGCATGGGTTGAGAGAACAGCAAACACTGTTATCTCACACTTAAGGCAAAAGCCTCTAACACCACATGTGCAGGTTCTGGATTAAAAATCACACATGAACAGGATGTGTCTGGACCAATCTTTTCCAAAGTATCACTTGAACAGTTGGTGCCCTGGGGTCCAGCAAGAGACAGAACTTTTGGATTAACAATGGCCACCAAGACTAAAAGTCAGCCTCTTCTAATTCTAGCAATTTCTAAGTCTGTTCTCCCCCTCTGTGGAGCTTCTCTCCATCACACAAGTTCCTCCATCAACTAAGAGAGCTTCCTGTACACTGGTCAACACAGACCTGTGACAATGGGTCAACTGCTGATTTTTCACCTGTGGGATGACATTAAAAAACTAAATCTTCTAGGATTTAGAACGTAATTTACTATGTAGTGTCTTGAGTCCACTTCACATTTTTCCCCACAGTCACTAGATCGTAATTAATGGTTGCCTCTGAGAGAAGGCAGTGGTAGGGTTGAGACCATTTCTGAAGCACAGTCTCAAACACCCTCAAAAGTTACAGAAGAGAGAAGGCAGAAGTGCCTCAACCCTGTCTTCAAATTAGCACTTACTTCACAAAAGCACAAAGGTACCACCAGACTAGGAACGAAAAAAAGGCAACTTCCTGCTGCTTCAGTGTGGCACCTCCAGTGGTTACTAATATTATCTTTTCTAATAAAAACAAACTTTGGTATACTGTTCAGGAGGACAAGGAAAATGAGCACTAAAACAACTTTTTTAAAAAACAGAGGCAGGTGTGGTGGCACAACAGGTTAACTTGCTGCTTGGGACACCCATCGGAGCACCAGTTCAAGTCTCAGCTACTCTCCACTTCTGATTCAGTTTCCTACTAACACATCCTGGGAGGTGGCAGATGATGGCTCAAGTGCTTGAGCACCTGTCACCCAAACGGAAGACCTGGATGGAATTTTAGCCTCCTCCTGGCTTCAGCTTGGCCCAGCTCTGGCTATCATAGGCATTTCGGGAATGGACCAGCAGATGAAAGATCTCTTTGCCTGCCTCTCTCTCTCTCTCTCTGTTGCTCTGCCTTTCAAGTGGATAAAAATAAATAAATAAATAAATATTTAAAATCCTAACACCTTCAATGGCAAAAGCATAGTAACTATTACCTAAAGAAATCACCATCACAGGTCACAAGATGATACCAGTAACTACCTGATATGTGACATTACACACACCCATGACAATTTAAGCAAGAGAAGTCCTCCCTCACAGCTCAGGCCATCAAGAACAAATCAGAGGTGAAGGCCCGGCTCTCCATGATGTGGTTCCCTGTGATAAACATGGTAACAATGTGGGTGGGGAAGAGGGGGACAGGGTAGAAACACAGAACGCCCGGGAAACTTCTGCTAAATACCATCATTTTATCCTGTTTTCTAATTAAGACTCCAATAAAAGGAAAGAAAAAAAGAAATAATTTTAAATTAAAATAAAACTATATCTGTACAAGTCTTTACTCTGAGTCCATAAGGTTTGTGGGCCTTTGTAGAAGTCAGATCTTAGGTGAATTATTCATTATCACAGCCCCTCCATTTGCTCTGGGATAAACACATTAAGAGACAACAACAAGAGAAGCACTGAGACCCAGAAGTACTTATGAACATTTTCCTGGGACGGGTAGGTCTACTAATGACCCACAGAGATGCTGCCAGGCACTGGAACCCCTGCTCTTTAAACATCTCAAAGTATAGAAAACCCCATCACCTAGTGAATCCTTTCTCCAATCAGGGGACCAAAGCAAGGAGCACTCGGGTACAAGGAAGGCCATTTCCTCAGAATTCATCAAGAACAACACAGGTTTACTGGATGTCATGGCAGAGCTTTCCTTGCCTTCAACCCGGACCAGAACTCTTGAGAGGCTGTGAGTGCCCACATCAAGACAAGGTCCCACAGGTATAGAATGGCCAATAACAGATGCACTGATGGCATCTGCAACAAGACTGAAATGTGTACTATGTGTAAGTCTACAGATCACTGATTATTGCACTATCAGTCTTCCTCCCCACCTACAAGAGAAAATCCAGAGAATCAGCCTGTTGCATGGACTATTTCTATCTTCTTGGGAAAAGGAAAGGGAAAGGAATTAGAAGTGAAAACTACTGAAATGACTTCTTGTCCCAGCTTGAGCCAGAACAAATGTGTTTGAATAAAGCACCTGCATTAAATAACACTTAAAATATGGTGACTTCAGCACATTATGAAAATGAAATGTACCCTCCCCCCCAACTCCATTAACTTCAGTGCACACAGTCTACCAGGAAATTTCTGTCATTCAGCCAGTGGAATGGATGGTATGCGCCAGATGTTGCACAAGGCATTTATTTCTCCAAGAAGGCTGAGAGCCAGGAGAATTAATCTCCTTCTGCTAGGACCTCTGCCCCAAGCTTCTGGGAAAACAGTGAATTGGGCTCGACAAGGGAAGTAGCTACATGATCCACTAATCAGATTCAAAACATGAAAATGCACTGTAGAGTGTATTTCGTCCTGCTCTTATTCATGGTAGAAAGATCCAAAGATAATTAACAAAATAGAGTTGTCCCTTCAAGCTCAAAGAAGGCCTTTTCAAAAAGACAAGGTATAAGCAAAAAAAATAAAATAAAAGGAAAGTAAATCAAACTCCCAATACTCCTGAAACTAAGAGAGTCCTATGGTGACTGATGGCTGGAAGAAGTCGAGGCAGGAAACAATGACCCAAAGATGGAGGAGGCCAGCCGCAAAGTGCCTTGCAGAATCCACAACAGTGTTCTCCATTTCCAAGGCCAAGTAACTATTCCCAGCAAGGTAAAAAAATTTCTATTAAGAAAACAAGATAAAACAAAAATAAAAACCACTCCAGAAAAAGGGAAGAGGAGCACTGTAGAAAGTCAAGCTGCTGACCGCCGACGGATCACAAAGAGCCCGCGCTGAAGCTGGCCAAGGTAGATCCTCATCTTGGTGCTGTCACTTGTCTTCCTCACCCAGATCTGTGGGGACAGGAGAGGGAACAAGATGAAAGAGGCTAAGAAGTCCTGAAGAGCAAGTCTTCCAAAGCATTAACATAGCTGCACGAGCCCGATGCGGGCACAAATCTGGCAAGTTTCACTTGTCTGAGTCTCATCCTGCGAGGGCGTCACAAGCACTTCCCAGTGCTGGGCTCTCCTGGGAGGCAGGCATCAGCCTTGAACTCCTAGCTCCCAGCCACCTCACCCACACCTTGGGTTAAGAAAATGGAACACACAATAAGCTGTGTTTCTGTTTCCCCTTAAGCTTAGGAACTCTTTCAGCTGTGGTCTGATTACAGCATCATCAACACTCAAGAGATACAGGTTACTGAACATTAACTTCTCCAAATTTTTGGAAATGTTTTCTTGGCCCCAATAGATTGCTATAACAAAGCCCTGCAATACTCACATTTCCTAGCAATTAAGCTAATGGCTTTGACAGAAAAAGAAGGAAAGAAATACTAACAATAAAATGTCTGATGAGTGAGCTAAAGCCCAATCAGGATCATGAGAAGGCCAAAGAGCTAAGGCAGTCCTTTCCCTCCTCACCACACCCCTCTCCCAGACAGTATCAGATCTCTCGCATTTGACAGGGCAGGAAGCATTCCTCCACAGACTTGAGAATGAACTCTTGCAGCAGCGGCCTGTCAGAGCTGAGGAAGACAGCTGTCACCTCAGTAGCCTCGCATGTGCGCAAGGGTTCCCCAGTTCTTCCTGAGTGCTGACACTGCTGAGGAAACTGGGCTTCCCCCCCTCAGAACAATCCTGGGAACCAAAGAGTCTTCAGCGACCCCGTTTACGGAAGAAGAAACCAAAGCTGTGCAAGACTGAGACACTCGTGCAGAGGTGAATTCTGCAGCCTCACAAAGCCCCTTGCTCTTCTCCACTGATGAGTTCCCAATTTTTTGAAAGGTCTGCACCTCACCCATATACCAAGTACAAGTTTACAGACCTATCTCCTCCTTCCTCCACCTGATTTTCAGGTTTAAAAAACCTTATTCTCAGGGGCCGGCTCTGTGGTGTAGCGGGTAAAGCCTCTGCCTGCAGTGCTGGCATCCCACATGGGCACCAGTTCAAGTCCTGGCTGCTCCACTTCTGATCCAGCTCTCTGCTGTGGCCTGGGAAAGCAGTGGAGGATGGCCCAAGTCCTTGGGAGACCCGGAGGAAGGTCCTGGCATTTGACTGGCCCAGCTCCGGCCACTGCAGCCAACTGGGGAGTGAACCAGCAGATGGAAGACCTCTCTCTCTCTGCCTCTCCTTCTCTCTCTGTGTAACTCAAATAAATAAATAAATCTTTAAAAAAAATTAAACTTAAAAAAAAAAACTTATTCTCAGTTCCATCTCAACATATTAAATGCAATTATTTCACAAAAGAAAGAAATTAAAATAAAATACACTGACTTAAAGACCTCACATGCAGCTGAGCCTCTAAAGAGCCTTGCAGAACCATTCCGAACTGAAGGCTGATCCCAAGAGCTGAATTGGGCGTCACCACCATGCTCAGACCCACCCACTGACCTTGCCCAAGCTGAGTCATGCAAAGGCCATGCTCCAGTGTCACTTCAGCTTTGATCTGGAAAGTGAGCTGGGGCTTTATGTCCCCACTGCCAGTGCTGCATGCCACCTATGCACCAGGACATCTACCCTCCAAGAGACACATCTCAGTGACACCACTGGTCAGACCTGACACTCACTCTGTTGTGTCAAAAAGTGACAACCTTTAACAAAGAAAAAGTTGCATTTTTCTTTCTCTCAAGGTGGCACAGAGAATGACATATGGACTGTGAAGCTCGGCTTTGGTGCTAGAGGCAACACGTGCTTGTGTGGAGCAAGCCCCACAGCCTGATGCTAGGGCCCTACTGTGAAACGACAAGGCCTTTTGGCTGAGGCCAGCAGCATTCTCTACCGGATCCCCTGCTCTGGTTCTGCCTTGGCTGGAGGTGACTTCCACAGATGCTGACCCAGAGAAGAAGGACACTCATTTATCTGGAAGGCACTCCCTAACTGCTAAGTAAATAATCATGCTGCAACCCAGTCACATGTGAGGGCATTTTCAATGTAGGAAGCTGGGAAAATAGAAGCTTAAGCTGTTTCATAATCCAGTTTCATTAGATTTACTGTGCACTGGCACGAATAAGTTACAGAGGGTAGACACATAAAAATCAATTTCTTTGCAGACATTTGTGGACTGATAAAAGATCAAGCCAACCCAGTTATTAAAGTTTTAAGCATTTTTTAAACTACTAACAATACAAGTTACACATTGCTGGTATCCTCCTAATGAAGCATCCAGAAAAGAGAGCCCACCGAGCAGTCCCGTCACCTTCAGGCAAACCCCTGCCAGCTGACTTCAAAACCAGATGCCACCCTGCAGACCAAGACCCAACAACAGCACGAACCTGGGAGCTTGTCGTGCAGAAGCACCGCAGGACATAAGATCTGAGAGATGGCAGGAATGGGGTGCCACGTGGGTTGCCTCATGCCAGCACCTAGCTATTGAGTACTTCCTGGGTGCTGGACCCTGTGCCAGGTGCCTCACTAAATCTTCACAGCAAGAAACCAATCTACTAACAGACGAAAAGCTAGGGAAACAAGTAAACAAAGATGGAGTGCACTCCCACAGGCAAGCTCCACTCTCAGGAGACAGTTACCTTAAAAAGCTGCAGGACTTGAAGGTACAGACATCACACAGACTTGCTTTTGTTCTTCCTTGCAGTCTAGCTCAGTGGTCCCCAAATCAATTACGGTACAGGGAGTTCAAAGATGCCAGAAGGAATACACAGATCTGCATATACCGAAGTCAGGCAGAGGTAAGGGATTTCCAAGGATGACTACAACTACATGTGATTTCTGCCTCAAAATGCTGACTTAAAATCTAACCCACAGAAGAGACCTGCCTCCATTCCACTTTCTGGGACACACTTCCAACACGTCACAGAACACATCTTGCCTTAGGGTGAAGAATATGGTCCCTACCTCATTGGCTCCAACTGAGCTGATCACACAGCTCAGTTTCTGGTTGTCCTTTGACTCGAGATAGATGGCTTGGCTCTTGTGATACCTGCCAAAAACAAAAAGCACAAACTTAAAAACTGGAGGGAGAAAGTTAAAAGAGCAGAAAAGAAAAAAGCACCATGTATCATGACAAAAAATACAACTAAAGAAGTTTTAATCGTTTATATTTGAGAAAGAGTCTGGACTTCAGAAAAGCACAATTTAAAGGTTTCTTTCCATCCCTGGAATAGATCAGACAATCTCCTAATGACAACATTCTATATCTTGGACCTTCTGCAGAGAGGAAAAGAAGCTGAAGTGAGAATCGGAAAACTCACTTTCTAGTTTTCTTACATGAATTCTGTGATCCAGTTTAAAATGTCAAATAAAACTTTTAAAGTAAACATTCTGTTCTCACCTTCTGGCCCCAACCCAAACACTGACGACTGGGTGGACCAAAAAAAAAAAGAGAAATGAGCTCGAACACTGTTGCGGTGTTTTTCATTTGTCCAAATAACTTATTAACAAACAAGTTGAATTCAGCCTCACTTTAGTCTTTGATTCAAGAATACTCACTATGTATGTACTATATGCAACTCTGCTGAAAGCTGGAGACAGACAATGAACAAGACCATCAGGTCCCTGCTGTCACAGATATGTGGGGGAGGAGACACACACACTAATAATCCTAGCTGGTCATGCTAACCAGGTGAAGTTCTAAATATAACACCATACACCAAAGGGTATCTGATCTGGCCTGAAGAGTCGAGAAACGTAGTTTGAATGCAGTGGACTAGAAAGCAGCTTCCCATTCAGCCCGGCATCTACTCCCTTGGCCTGCAGCACAGGACCACTTTCAACTATCAAAGTTCAAGACCGAGAATGGAAGCAAGAGTGTCTGGGTCAAAGCTGGAATGAGGGGGCAGCACTATGGAATAGCGGGTAAAGCCGCCGCCTGCAGTGCTGGCATCCCATATGGGCCCCAGTTCGAGCCCCAGCTCTGCTCCATTTCTGATCCGGCTCCCTACTATGGCCTGGGAAAGCAGTGGAAGATGACCAGAGTCCTTGGGCCCCTGCACCCACGTGGAAGACCAGGAAGAGGCTCCCAGCTCCTGGCTTCAGATCAGCGCAGCTCTGGCTGTTGCAGCCAACTGGGGAGTGAACCAGTTGATGAAAGACCTCTCTCTCTCATTCTCTCTGTGTAATCTGACTTTCAAATAAATAATCTTTAAAAAAAAAAAAAAAAGCTGGAATGAAACAACAGGATGAAAGAGCAGCTGCTGGATTAGGAGAGCAGGAGATACCAGCTAAGCTGCTGCTGGCAGCTCTGGCCTGGCCAGCCCCAGCTCAATCAAGAATATAATCTCTGTTTCATTTGGCTACACAAATCCAGCAAAACACATCCACAATTTCCACCAAAACACACGTGATAAGAAAATTCCACCAAGCACACCTACCAGCAAAGCACTACAGTTTATGACTTCTTTGGAGAAAGAAATCAGATGCTGTTCTGCTGCTACAGTGAAATAATCTGCTATCGAGACACCACAGTAAGTGCCGGCATGTGGCCCAGCAGGTTATGCTACTGCTTGCAACACCAGTATCCCGTAGGGAGCACAGAGTCCAGGATGCTCTGCTTCTGATCCAGCTGCTAATGCTCCTGGGAAGGCAAGAGACGATCGCTCAAGTTCCTGCCACTCACATGGGAGACCAGGATGGAGTTCCTGACTCCTGGCTTCAGCCTGGCCCAGCCTGGCCCAGCCCTGGATGTTTTAACTGTCTGGAGAGCGAACCAGTGGATAGAAGAGCTCTGTCTCTTCCTCTCTGTCACTGTGCCTTTCAAAAAAAATCTTTAAAGAAAAAAAGTTTTCCTGGTAAAGGATGCACTTCATTCCCATAACCAGCTTCCCCAATCTAGGTTCTAGTGCTCTTTAACCTGCCACTTCAGGGCTGAACACTCAAGGCCATTCGCTTCCTAAAAACACTGCTACAAGGCAGTGAGCCATAAATGCAATCAGAAGAGCGACACTGGTGTAGACGCAAGCACGAAAGTTGCTGTTGGCCAGACATTAGTTGTTGAACTGGGCCAGAGGACCTTCGTTATGCTGATCGTGTAATATCCCAAGGTCCAAACTGTACAATGCATGAGAAAGGCTGAATTAGTGCACAGTAACACTTCCTGGTTTCTTTCCCACATCTAAGCCAACTATCCTATGTAAACAGCAATGTCTTGAATAATGGAGAGAATAAAAATACAGAGAAAGGACATTCAGTTATTCTATAGGGACTGTGAGTTATTAAAAATTCAGAAACACAGACAAAATGCAAGTAGCCTCAAGTCACTGTGATACCATTTTCTAAATCATAGAGAAAGGCCACACTGTGGTATATATTACTAGCATGGAAACACACTCAATATACTGCTAAATGGAGGGAAAAAACTGCCCAATGTGTTCCTGTGTTTGTAATAAAACTTACATGGTACATGTGCATCATATATACATAGAAAAAATTGGATTTATATATTAAAATGATTATTAAATATTAAAAACTTGTAAAATGTAAAATAAGAATGGCATCCCTTTTATTGCATAGCTTTCGATTTTATAGAACGAGTATTATGGGCATCAAAAAGTGAACAATATTTTTTGATAAATTATGGTACTTGAAAGTATCGAAATATTTACAAATTTCAAGTCATAAAGGTCTGTTCAAGAAAACCTTTATCTCTGGAAGATCATTCAAGCAATTCTGACAAGACAGGTTGCATTTTCCTTTAACTGTGCTTAGAATCCAAGCACCATACATTTGACTGACATAAGAATGAACATCAGGGGGGCCAGGGATGTGCTGCAGCAGGTAAAGCTGTCACCTGCAGTGCCGGCATCCCATATGGGAGCCAGTTCAGGTCCCGGCTGCTAAACTTCCAATCCAGCTCTCTGTTGTGGCCTGGGAAAGCATAGAAGATGACCCAACTCCTTGGGCCCCTGCACCCATGTGGGAGTCCAGAAGCTTCTGGGTCCTGGCTTTGGATTGGTGTAGCTCCAGCCACTGCAGTCATTTGGGGAGTGAACCAACGGACAGAAGATCTCTGTGTAACTCTGACTTTCAAGAAAACAAAATCTTCCACTGCCCTCCAAGGCCATAGCAGAACTGGATTGGAAGAGGAGCAGCTGGGACCAGAACCGGCGCCCATATGGGATGCCAGTGCTTCAGGCCAGGGCTTTAACCCGCTGCGCCACAGCATTGGCCCCAAGAAATAAAATCTTAAAAAAAAAAAAAAAAGAATGAACATTAGGAGTAAAGAATACAATATCATATATGAGCCCTGAGCAGCAGCCTGAGACTTGGGCATCTGGTCTCCTGTCAAATCTGCCTCCTCTGGGATCACCAAACAGTGGTGGCTTGAATGTCCACCACTGGTCCCCGCCTGCCCCACAGGAGAGCTGGCCGGTGAGCTTCCCAAAGCAGCCAACTTCCAAATCACAGGCTCAGCGGTCCCTCCTGAACCAGTCTCCATAACCTTCAGGGGACGCTCATGAACTGCACAACATTCTTGGGGAACCATTATCCCTGGATATTCAACCTACTAAGTGATCTGAATCCTATGAGAAGACTTTAGAAAATTAAGTACACATTTGGGGGGCTTTTAAGATGAAACCAAAAAGATATGACAACCTTAACAGACAAATTTACTATTCAAATTATGAAGAATAAAAGAAAATAATCCATAAAAAACTTTAAAAACATCAATAGAGCTAAATGAGTAAAAACGGACATTATTTCTTTTTTGCCAATTAACCTGTTTTACACAGCTGCTGGAAGAATGAACACACACACACTTAAACAGCCTCAGAAATACACACCAATGTCAAACTGACTGCATTTCTTTATTACTAATGGAAATTCCGACCTGGGTATTCCTACAATTAAACCCTTAAAGCTTGAGACTTCATGCCAGTGCCGCAGCTCACTAGGCTAATCCTCCACCTTGCGGTGCCGGCACACCGGGTTCTAGTCCCGGTCGGGGCGCCGGATTCTGTCCCGGTTGCTCCTCTTCCAGGCCAGCTCTCTGCTGTGGCCCGGGAGTGCAGTGGAGGATGGCCCAAGTGCTTGGGCCCTGCACCCGCATGGGAGACCAGGATAAGTACCTGGCTCCTGCCTTCGGATCAGCGCGATGCGCCGGCCACAGCACGCCGGCCGCGGTGGCCATTGGAGGGTGAACCAATGGCAAAAGGAAGACCTTTCTCTCTGTCTCTCTCACTGCCCACTCTGCCTGTTAAAGATAAAAAAAATTTAAAAAAATAAATAAAAAGCTTGAGACTTCTATAAAACCCAGTGAACTACAATTACCAACACTATTTTCAAACAAAGCAATTTGTTTAAAGGTGGGTCCAAAAGTGGTGTAGGATGGGGGTAGGAGAAAAGATTTAATTTTTTATTCTTCTAGGAATTCTGATATTAACACTTCATTTCCAAAAAATATGAAACCACATGACAAGTATAAACCTCAAGTAGTACCGATTACTTACTCACTGTTCTAACAGTCTTTGCATCAGCTGAAGACTGAGCAAGTGGATGACTTCATTTCTGATTCACACTAGCAGCCCAGATGTAAAGTGAAAAGGGGAAAAACATATTCCACCAGCACTATCAGTTATTTTAAAATATCAGCTACTTCCACAGTACTTTCTGAGAAGGGTCAATAGCCCAAATCAACATTGAGGCAAACTTACAGCATGATTTGAAATGCCTTAAAAGCAAAGTAAGACCAAGGCAAAAGAACATGCTTATCTTTCAAAATGAAATGGAGCTTGATAAGTGTTCACACGAGGATGGGAAGCCTGAATCTCCTTTATTTCACTGAAGTACGTTAATACGCAATGAAACATGTTTGGTCAAAAATAATGTCACACCAAAATACTCCACACCACTGGAGACAGCAGAAAGTAATTCAGTCAAGCTCGCAGTGACAGGTCATGTCTGCTAAAAAGGAAGAAAGAAAAACAGAGCCTCCTGGACAAGGATATAAATTCAGACATTAAGAACTTGGTGATATGCGCAAAGCTGGTTCTGCAACAACCAGTGCGGGCCAGGACTCCCACAACAGCCTTTAATTAGCATCAGGGAAGGAGGGACCCACCTTGCAATGACTTATTATGAGCTCTATCAAAGCCAAAGAAAAACATTCAAAATACAGAAAACAACATTCTTGAAATACACCGAACAACAAAGTAAAATGCTTCCAGATACATTATTTTTTAAATGCTTGCTGCTAATATGAGAAAGATGGTGAAAATTCCTTTGAATTGGTTAGGAGTCCTAACACATCAAATGTGACTGCTCCATTTATGTTATGAAACATCAGTCAATGGGCAGCCTTTCTTTAAAAAAAAGTTTTATTTTACTGCATGTTCAGCCTCAAGACACGTCTCATAAAGTCTAAGGATTAAGCATAGAAGGAGGGAGGGATGGAGATCCAAAGCAACGTAATTACAAAATGAACATCATTTGAAATATCACATGGCTTTAAGACTCACAGATCCATAAAAATGTTAGTGATAAATCTCATCATTTCCAAAGATGGTTCTATGTGTGGGCTTGATCTTTAAAGGTTATTTGGTTTTCATTATTAGAAACATTTTTCATCTTAGTTTGCCCCACTGTGTTAAGCTGTTAGAGCCTGCCACCTAGTGGTGATGTGCTCTGATAAGCAACGTTAACATACAGTGGTAGCTAGACTTTAAGAGCATCAAATAGCCAAATTAGAGAGACAGAGGTCGGGGCTGGCACTGTAGCATAATGGGTAAAGCTGCCACCTGCAGTGCCAGCATCCCATATGGGTGCCTGCTCAAGTCCCAGCTGCTCCACTTCTGATCCAGCTCTCTGCTATGGCCTGGGAAAGCAGTAAAAGATGACCCAAGTCCTTAGGCCCCGTACCCGCAAGGGAGACCAGGAGGAGGCTCCTGGCTTCAGATTGGTGCAGCTCCAGCCATTGCAGCCAATTAGGGAGTGAACCAGCAGATGAAGGACCTCTCTCTCTGCCTCTCCTTCTCTCTCTCTGTAACACTTTCAAGTAAATAAATAAATCTTAAAAAAAAAAAAAAAAAAAAGGGACAGAGGTCACTATGATCAGGCTTAGAAACACAGCAAGACTCCATCACCTACCAGCCAACTCACTGACTGGAACTTAATAGGAGAAAATTATTTCAGGCATGACAAGATCTCAGAGTATTTTGTCAATGTACTATATAAGGTAACCAACTAACAACATTCTGGGGACTTTTTCCCTTAAAATAGTTAAAAAGTTTCAAAATAACCATTACCCTAATTTTGGAACTTTTGCTAAATAAAGATACTGAAACTCAGAATCACTATATAGTCGTTAAAAATGATAATTACAGCAAAGCATAAACATTCTCCATGTAACCAAGTGGAAAGGCAGGATGTAATCATGTGTCCACTTTGACTTACACAGAACAGTAAGCCCGAGTATGGCCAAAGAGCAGAAAGAAGTGTGTCAGAATTAAAATCACTGTGAAAACATGGCAAGACCCAGGGTGATTTAACACCTAGCAGAACACCTAACACGAAGCAGACAGTAAGTGTCTGTTGAATGAATAAATGTATGAGATCTTACGGTTTTTTCATATTGTTTTGCCACTTCCTTTCTAGTTAAAAAATGCTGTCAGTCTGAAGGTCTAAAACACTCTTCACTCTCAAGTAGAAATGCTTTAGGATGCAATTCCCCCAAGTAAGCTTCCTGGTACACTTGTATAGCAGGATGATGCATGAAGAAAAGATACAGCTATCAAAAAATACCTAAAATCTTAGAAATTCAGAGCACCTCAGCATATCACAGGATCCAAAGAAGGCTACAAGAACAAAAACCATTTACCTTTTTGTTGTTTTAAGATTTATTTATTTGAAAGGCAGATATACTGAGAAAGAGGAGACAGAAAATCTTCCATCCACTAGTTCACTTCCCAAATGGCCACAAAAGCTGGGGTTGGGCCAGGCGGAAGCCAAGAACCTCCTCTAGTTCTCCCACATGGGTGGCGGGAACCCAAGGACTTGGGCCATCTTCCACTACCTTCCCAGGCACAGTAGCAGGAAGCTGGATCAGAAGAGGAGCAGCTGGGACAAGAATTGGCGCCCATATGGGATGCTCACACCACAGGTAGCGGCTCAACCTTCTATGCCACAGCACTGGCCCTCCCCGCCATTTATCTTAATTAACATGGTCTTCTCCCAAACTGATGTGATCACAAAATCCTTTTAGGTGCAGAACACCTATTAACTTGAGCACACAGGGGCAGAGTTCAGAGGAGGCAAAAAGAAACATATACTACAGCCAATGAAGCCACCTAGGGAGTGAACCAGCAGGTGGAAGATCTCTCTGTTTTTCCCTTTCTCTCCATAACTCCCTCAAAATAAATTAATACATCTTCTTAAATACACACACACAGAGACACACACACACTTCAAAAATTGTGCTGAGATCCAACATAGGTGTCCAACACGTAACTGCTGGAACATTTTCAAATGGAGTTCCACTTGTACTACTGTGAAGTTATTCTGCAGTTATGCTCTGAAAAACAACTGTAGATGGGGGCAGTGCTGTGGCACAGCAGTTAAAAGCCGCCACCTGCAGTGCCAGCATCCCATATGGGGGCAGGTTTGAGTCCTGCTACTCCACTTCTGATCCAGCTCCCTGCTAATGCACCTGGGAAAGCAGAAGATGGTCCAAGTCCTTGGGCACTTGTACCCACATGGGAAACCTGGAAGAAGCTCCTGGCTTCGGGCTTCAAATCGGACCAGCTCTGGCCATTGTGGCCATTTGGGGAGTGAACCAGAGCATGGAAGATCTCTCTCTCTGCCTCTCAAATAAATAAGTAAATCTTAAAAAAAAAATAAAATAAAAAAATAAAACACACACACACAACTGTAGAGAGCCCCAGATCCTCTCCAACTGGTTCTTATTAGACTCTTAAAGTAATCCAGGTGTTCCCGTAACATACCATCTTTTATCATAGTACAGTTTGCCATCTTCGATCCGAGCTTCAAACCGCTGGGCAGGAGACTCTGCAGGTGTAGTAGGCAAGTGTTCAGGAGAGGATGGGGATGCTGGAGGAACCAGACACACTGGAATGACTAAGTACGTACCAAACACGTGTTGAGCCCGCCACCCAGCATGCTATAATTGAACTGCCATCAGAATGCAGTGGAATCATGACCCTCAAGCTCCTATAATGTTAGTAATGCATGGGAATTCAACACAGTTCTTGTACACTGCATCTAATTTGACCCTCAAGGCAACCTAACGAGGTAGTCAAGTCACAGACTTAACCTTCCGAGCCAAAGAGCAACCTGAGGCTCAGGAAGCTTTAAGGTCCAATGTGTAAGTTATACACAATCAGAGTAAGAATAAATCCCTGGTGATCGGAAGTCCAAAAAAGGCAGGAACAATGAAAATCTCTTTCAAAAAATGACAATTTCCAGAACTACAGTAGGGTCACACACTCAAAGCCCTCTCCCCTTCAAGACGTCCCTGTGGACTACTACGGCACTCAGGACCGTGTCTACACCAAGTTGCTTTTTGCCTGCAATAAACTTAGTGGGGAGAGGGATGTGTAAGTGACCCCACACTTAAGGCCTTACCAAGCAATTATTCCAGTATGCAAACTGGCATGCCCTCAAGTGCTGCCCTGGAAGAAACCACTGTGAACACTGGGTCAGCTTCTCCTATAGCAAGGACGCGGCAGCAGAATCAGGCCGTGGAAACGCCTCTAGCTTCACTTCAGAGTGTGAGTCCTACTGGAAAACCCTTCATATTTCATTGTCAAAAAAATGCATATCAAGTTGAATCTTACGCCTGATGCCCACATAGAAAGAACCTCTACCAGTCAAAAGTCTTTTATAATAAATCCTAAAGAAAAGACAAGAATGACATACCAAGGTAAAAAAAAAAAGATAGTCAAAGGAGGGACACACTTAAGATCCCTTTCAGTTTTCATCATGACTGCTTTTGGGCCCACACTAAATATTTTATTTTTGAAACATCAACAATTCACTGACATGTATTTGCATGCTTTTACAACAATACAATAAAAAGATTGCAAACGCCAATAACATAATGCACTTACCTGGTCTCTTGGGTGACTTAAGCTGTAGGAAGAACAACAAAAAAATCTTAGAGAAAATCATTTCAGAAGCAACTGAAGGTGTCAGAGGTATCATGATGTAAAAGCAATACAACAAAGTGAAGCAGGAAACCACGTCAAGCTTTGACTTCCAAAGAAGTTTAAGAAAAAATCAAATTGTACCTTATTTAACGTTCTCAGATCCTCCATGATCTGTTCATCTGTTAACAAATAGTTTAGCTGAGGTGTTGAGAGTTAAAGGAATGTGTCTGAAAAGTACGGTTTGCAAAGAAACAGAAGGCAACAAAATGGCACCAGTATTACAGAGCTTACAAAATGTAGCTTTGTTAAATGATACTTTTATAATACTTTGCTTCCTGCAAAGTTGATTTCCCTACTAAATGTCGTGGTGTCCAGCTATAAAAAACAATTTACATCCCCAACCTTACAAACTATGATGAGAAGGTAAAATGAGACTCAGTAGGTATGTAAAATAGCAAGAACACAGGAAATAGTAAAGAATTTCATCCTGAATTTATAGGCTGCTTTTGTTCCAAAGATCTGAAGACTTTTACTCAAAACACACATACATACATACATACATACACACACACACACACACACACACACTTCTCCCCACATATCATTCCCATTTTTATGATTAAAGAGGCTGCTTTATATCTGAATTAAATCTCATCTGTTTTAAGAACAGTTTTCAATCCACTACTTTAGGGATTTAGGTAACTGAGGCACATAAAGGCAGATATTACTATCCTCATTTTACAGGTGGAAAAATTAAGGCACATTAATTTTTCAGTTGCCCCGGCTGGATTTCCAACACAAAGTACCTTTTCAAATAACTCCTCTCTATAAATCTCTCCCATTAATAGCAGCAATTAGCAATTACGGACTGCGATAATAAAATGGCCCAGCCCCAACCTGTGGATGGATAACTCACAGATGCTTTCCAATCAAATGTTGCTATGCTCTGTAAGACGACAGCCATATATACTCTATCAAATGGACAGGCAAATGATTCTACAATCTTAAGAGAAAAAAGTGACTAAAACTTGATCCAAATGGATATCAGGAGCAGGTTTTCTCCTCTTGTCTGGGATGGGGACAGGATCATTTGGTCGCCTCCGCAACTTTCTGGTCATGATGGGTTTCACTTCCATAGAATCTGTGGCAAGAACAGAATGGACAAATCTAATTCCCAGTCAGTAAGAATTTCTCTACTATAAGAATTACCTACCCCAGAGTCACTCATGCAGAACCATTTCACTGGGGAATGTTTGGTCTACACATGGCCCAAGCCAGATGCTCATATTAGATTTCAGAGTTCATGTTTATAAGATTCAAGACCAGCTGATCTAGGTGTACAATCCTCTCGAAACGTAGCCCCACAGTCTAACACTGCAATCATCTCTCCAACCTCAAAAGCTAGGGGATATCCCCTCCCTCAAATTACGAAGCTACAGATTCATCGGATCTCGAGAGTGAAAGGAACCTGGGGGTCGTCTCAGGTCACAGATGTCTGCTGTTCCCACAGACGGGAGGGAAGCTCACTGGTACAGAAGGCTCTTTCAGAGGCCACTGGCCTCTGTGCCAACATTTGTATAATAAGTCTCCATTTACAAACTCAGACCCTTTTCTCCTCTTACAGTCTTTTGTGGTTACTTGACCATCAAGAATGACATACTGAAGGCTCATAAGAAAAGCCTGTTCTCATTCTTCCTGACTTCTCTCTGTAGTCTGAACTGCAGCTGACTTCCCTGCCTTACAATCCCTGCCTTCCCAGCCTTGGCTGCACAAATCTCTGCTCTGTCACCTCCTCAGGGTTCTTTCCTGCTGGCCTGGTCCTCAAATAACGATGACCCCAATTCCCAATCATTAATTCTCGCTCCAGCCACCCCTTGGAATGGCAGCCTACACCCAACACCACACTCTCTCTCCATTCCAAAAGATCTCTTTCCTCCCCTCCCACAGCTGCCTCTTCTGCATCTCAGGACCATCTAACCTATTCATCCTTGCAAACCAAAGTGTCCTCTGTGACGGCCTTCACGCAAGCATCAAATTCACTAGACATCAGTTCTTGCAAAACTATGCCCTCATCTATTCACTAACCTACCCCAAGGACCACCTGTGCTCAAGTGACCTTCCTAAGATACAAATTAGAATATCCTGCCTCTCACTCACTCTTCTTACTAAACGTAGCACTGGCTTGCCACTCTACAAATGCCATGCCTTATTTCTGGACTTGCTCATTTCTCCTTCATTGACACTCACCCTATACTCCAGCTGTGAGCTCTCTTACCCACAGGCAACCTACTTCCATCCTTTCAAGCCTCTGCCTGCCCCTCATCCTACCTGGCAAACTCCCACATAACATCCATCCAATATTCCCCTTTGTTATAGTTTCCATGGGCAGAGACCCAGCCCATCTTCCAAGTAACCAGAGCATTGTTCCTATGCCAAGTGCCACACTACAGGACATCAGACATTGAGACTGCACTGCAGCATGGAGACTGCCCCTACCCAGCAAGAGCTGGGGCACGCTGTGTGGGCCTCACAAAACTTTCTGCAGAATGACAAGATGAGGTCACACCTGATCATGAGATAAAGCTCACTGATAATGACGCACACTGTCAGCAGAGCAGACAGGCAGGGTTATGGAATTCTACTACAGCAATGTGCAGGATCTGACTATTTAGGAAACATACAACAACAAATATTTCTGGATCTTGCTCCCAAAAAATGGGCAATAATTGAATTTTTCCCTATGAATCAAGTAAAGGTAAAATAACCATCACAGACATAATGAACACTAACAAATCTGTACCTGCAGCCTGCATAAATGCTCTATGTTGCTCGCTCCCTCGTGTAGAGAATGGAAATATCAGTCTCTCCCTAGCAGAGTACTCTAAGAGTTACACGATGATACAAGTGAAGCCCTGAGTATAGTGCCTGGCATAACCAGAATTTCAGCAATTCTGATTTTTATTATATTTTTAAGAAGGAAAAAAAAGCTATGTAAAGTCCTTTTAAGAAGTCAAGGCATTATGAGCTGAGTGAAAGTTACAGACTGTAAGGTGGTTTGATGTCAGCGGTGAGGCTTTGCAATATTCAAACCTAACTTGGAAAACAAAATGTTTAGGAGGCTCACCCTATCCAAGGGAGCACCAGAGAGAAAGCATGTAGCCCAGATCATATGGAAAGTTCTGTACACCAAAGAGAATGGCTACGTGTGCCCTGCTCCAAGGGTTGCCAAGAATGCAGGGTCGGGAGGGTGGGCAATATACCATGGAAGGGGCCCAAGTACAGGTACAGCTGAGAAGATGTGGGAACATCAAGTCCAATTACACCGCTGAACTCTGAAAATCCTAAGTGTACCAACTATAGATCAGAAAATATCATCAAATTCTTATAAAATGGGAAAAATCCATTCGTTTTATTAGTCAACAAAAATAAGCTGGTGAATTTTATACAAAAGACTATGTTTGCATAAACCCTAAAATTTACCAGCTTGTTTCTGCCCCTGAGAAGACAGCAGACAACGGTCCTGGCCAGTGGCCCATGCAGAAGATGGAATCTGACAGGGAGACCAACATGCAAGTGTCTAAGTCTAAGGACAAAACAGAAAGATTACCACTTCAGTCGCCTTTCTCCTATTCCAGCTTTGCCTAGCTGGTTATAAACCTAAGTTTTCCTTAGAGGGAAGGGGCAGTCTGACCACCTAGGTCTCAGTATGTCTAGAAGTTCTACTTCTCACCTCAAGCAAGAGCTGGCATTCTGAGTTTAAATATCAGTCTCTTGGTGATTCTGATCAATAAGAATCCCAAGGCACTCAACCTGGGTACTGACAAAAACCAAAATTTTAGAACTAAAGTTGAGCCCTGGAGGAGGCAACACAAGCATGGGTATCACCCAATCCTCTCAGATGGCCCTAACTGGCCAAAATTAAAAAGTCTCTCTGATCCGGAAGACTCTTCAGAGGTTCACGTCAGTGGGGATGCTAGTTGTAGAAATCATTGAAATAAAACCCTTAAGACAATTCTGGGAGAGTTTCACACAGAAAGCACTACATAAGCCATGAGACTGCATCTACAACCCCTCCCCAAACCATCTCAGATTTCTGACCTTCAATGGTATGAATCCTATTTCTCTGCTCCTCAGGAAGCCTGATAGATAGATAAGCCCCAGGTAGCCCTCGGTCTGATATCTACACAATGGGATGCATCAGTGCTGGGTAGTTATTATAGAACAGTTCCTATGGAGAGAGCTTCCTGTTAAAATTAATCACTTGCACTTTACACGTCACTACTCATTTACCGGCTGGCCTTCTGTTTTGTACTTCTTCCTAGGCCTCTTCATTCACTTCTAACAGCTCCCCTGCCCACAGTGCTCAACTGCAGTAGCAGCTTCATTTCAACATGCTTTTATCATTAAAACAAGTTCACGCATGTTCACATATGAGGACTCTTCAAGAACTAGTCAATGAGTACAAACTGCCAGTTACAGACGAAGAATAAGTGTTGGCATTCTTTTGCACAATGTTGTGTTGAATAATTTCAATGTTCTGACCACAAAATGACAAAGGCATGCAGTGATGAACATGCTATGTACCTGGATTTGATTATACCATGTAAACATGAATCAAGATACCACACTGTACTACAGAAATACATTAAATTACTGTGTCAATTAAAACAATATTAAGGGGCCGGTGTTGTGGCATCCCCTGTGGTCACCATTTCTTTTTTTTAAATATTTATTTATTTGAAAGTCAGAGTTACATAGAAAGTTGAGAGGTTGAGAGGTTGAGAGGTTGAGAGGTTGAGAGGTTGAGAGGTTGAGAGGCAGAGAGGCAGAGAGGCAGAGATGCAGAGAGAGAGAGAGAGAGAGGCCTTCCATCCACTGGTTCATTCCCCAGATGGCTGCAACGGCCAGAGCTGCACCGATCCAAAGCCAGGAGCCAGGAGCTTCTTCCTGTTCTCCTACGTGGGTGCAGGGGCCCAAGGACTTGGGCCATCTTCTACTGCTTTCCCAGGCAATAGCAGAGAGCTGGATTGGAAGCAGAGCAGCCAGGTCTCGAACCGGCGACTATGGACATCATTTCAAGACGCAGCTGTTCCACTTCCAATCCAGCTCTCTGCTAATGTGCCTGGGGAAGCAACAAAGAATGTGGCCCAAACACTTGGGCCCCTACACCCATATGGGAGACCAGGGTACAACTTCTGACTTCAGCCTGGCTCAGCACTGGCTGCTGCAGTCATTTGTAGAATGAACCAGAAGATTCTCTCTCTAACTCTGCCTTTCAAAATCTTTAAAGAAGAAAAAAACAAGCTATTTTTTAGCTACTGGAAAAAAAATTTAGTTGCAGTGATTCAAAGGAGCACTAGTATCAGAAAAAAAGCCACAGCTGAGGAAACCCTGCCACAGCCTGGCAATTTCCTGCAAGCCACGCAGTGTGAAACAGCTCTAGGTCAGGAGTCCAGGGCAGGCCCCAGCACACCCCACAAGAAAAGGCAGGTTCACCAAGATCATCACAAATCAACATAGCAGTGGCTGGAGAAGGAGGGATAAGAATCAAGGTCAGGTCTTTGGAGACCAAATCAGGGTGAGAATGAAGGGACCAATCTCAATTAGGTCCATAATGAAGGGATGGCATTCAAAGAAAAAACTGAGCCTCCCACCCCCTCCCCCTCCCCAGATCAACCACATTTAATGGCCTGGATTCCACAATGTCACTTTTGGAAAGAACTTGAGGACAAGTCTACCCACGCAAAATCCAGGTCACCTCCATTCTCCCTCCCCAGGTATTTGTGGGGCCTCTTCTCCTTGCCTTGACTTCCAGCATCCCCAACACTCTGGCTTCTATTATGCAGAACTCACTGCTCCTGCAGTGCAATCACACATGCCTGAACAACAACAAGCCTGTCAAAATCTTCACTCAGCAGCAGCGACCTCAACGCCACCTTCCATTTGGGAAGACAGGGAAGCTACATTAATTTTTCTAACTTACATTCTCCCTAAGGAGCTTACATTCTCCTTAAGGACACAGGTCTTAACCATTATCCTAATTCTGCACACCAAGAAGTACTACACATATTCATCTTATCAGGAGAGAGTAGATAAAATATGGTGGTGAAGACAACACATTGGAGGCCAAATCCTGGCTTAAGAACTGTTTTTCAGTTGCGGGACTGAAAGCAAATGACGACTATTCTCCAAGTCTGCTCTTCCATTTGTAATGGCAGAATAATGGCTGCCGGGGCCAGCCATGTGGCACAGCGGGTTAAAGCCCCGGCCTGCCAAACCAGCATCCCACATAGGTGCCAGTTTGAGTCCTGGCTGCTCTACTTCTGATCCAGTTCCCTGTTAATGCACCTGGGAAAGCAGCAGAGGATGGCCCAAGTCCTTGGGCCCCTGCATCCATGTGGGAAACCCTGAAGAAGCTCCTGGCTTTGGATCAGCTCAACTCCAACCACTACAGCCATTTGGGGAGTGAACCAGCAGGTGGAAGCCCTCTCTCTCTCTGCCTCTACATCTCTCTATAACTCCTCCAAATAAATAAAAAATAATGGCTCCCAAATCAAAGGGAGCTGCAGGAACTAAATGAGGTTATAACTGTCAATGCCTCAGTGTTCACTCTGTGCACGAAGCATTCATAGGCACTATCTCATCACCTTCATAGTAGATTCTCTCATCTCCTTGCCAAATGAGAAGCCCCCCGCCCCAGAAAAAATTTTGTAAAAGCCAGCATTCACCCCATTCTGTCAGCCTGCAGAGGTAGCTCTGTTTTGCTGATGTTTTCATAGAATGCCTGACTCAATGTAAGTGCTTAGGAAGCAGACTCCTATCTTGACATTATGACTCATGGTGCCAGCTCTGAATCCAGTAGCTTCTAAAGGAAACTCAAGGCTTTACTTAGGTCATGAGTGGCTATCACTGGGGCCTTGAAGGTTAGAAGATCCTCTGGTGAGCAAGAATTTACAAAAGAAAATGAAGCGGCAGTCAACAGACTCTTGGAAGAAAAGATGGCTACACTAACAAGAAAAACAAATCAAAAACAATAAACTCTCCACCTTTTAAAGCTCATTACATTCTCAATGATTATCTGGGTCACTTGTAACCCTGACTTCAACGTTAGAGAATACTACACTCTGATAATTCTACATAAAACTCGACTACTCAAAGTACGGTCCAGGATATCCTGAAACACCTCAGGCCTCCTGAAACAGGCTGCATTGTATCAAGACCCCAGGTGGGAGCAAACATTTGGTTCACTGGTTAAGTCCCAGCTTGGATGCCCCACCTCTTATCGGATGGCCTGGTTCAATCATGGCTCCTCTACTTCCAATCAAGCTTCCTGGAAGCACCAGTCACAGAAGATGGCTCAAGTACTTGGGCAGCTGCAATGCTAACCTCTGGCTGGTTGCAGGCATTTGGGCAGTAAACCAGCAGACGGGAGATCTCTTTCTCTTTGCCTTTCAAATAACAGAAATTTTAAAAAATTTTAAAGACCACCCTCCCCCAGAAGTGACCCATATTACATATTAAAGTTGGAGAAGTACTGACTTATGGCTCATCCTAGCTTCTTTATTTACAGTCCACCTTTCCACCTGTACAACCTAGTTTTCCTAAATGCCCCACAGGAGGTCTGCGAGGTGAGTAAATCCTGCTCAGACAGTGCAGGCCACCAGATAACACTCACATCCAGTGTGACATTCTCATCTGCCTCTTATGCTGCTTTGTTTTTCACGTTGAACCAGAAAAGATTTTCCAAGCAGGGGTGGGCAATATTAATACTGGGAATCAATCCACAAAGGTGAAGTAAGTCACTCAATTAGAGGAACAGAACCAAGCCTTTAATCCAACACCATAGCAGCACCATCTGTGGAAATGCTAATTATCCTTCTAGCTCCCTTGCCTTCTCTTGCCACACTCTATCATTACTTTGGCAGTGCTTCCCATACCAATGGTACCAAATGGCTTGGGGAAGGACATCAGTACCTTTAACGTCCATGGCTAGCTTTAAACACTTCTGTAATATATTGTATCATGTTACAAATGATTTCCCTGCATTTGTCGTATCTACCCTGGCAGGTTCAGCCTCAAGTCAATCAGAATGCCTCTTGTCCCAGTTAAGATCCTGTTTTTAAAACTGCCTGGCCAAACAATGTCTACTGCTTGTCAATAATTAGGATGCCAAATCGCAGGTGAGCTGATGACACCCCTCCCTGCAGATGGAAAGGGAGCAGCTATAAATCGACAGTGTTTCCCACCAGCCTAATGAAGGCTCCGAACATCTGGTGGCCTGAGCAGAGAGCGATGAGGCATCACTGCCAGTCACAGCCACCATCAAAGAAAACAGTGTGCAGATCTGAAAGCAGGCAGGCAGACTGGCGGCAGACAAGGCACCACAGTGTGATCGGTCTAATTAAAAAAGCATTTCAACAAGAACAAGATGGTGCTGTCTGAAGATGCTATTTTAGCATCCTTCTCACAAAAAAAAAAAAAATTCTGAGCTGCCTTGAAAGGCCTTCAAGGAATTCACTCCTTTTGCCAAGTTATTTAATGAAGAAGCTATCAGAGGACAGATTTTTTTTTCCCCAAGAGTTAAACCTCCCCTACCCCAGATACAACCATGTTCTCACTGCTGTGTCATGGGGATGGGAAGGCCAAACTGGTTCGTTCATGCCACCAGGAATATACAGGTGAAACAAAGATCTTAACTGGTCCTCAGAACCTTCTAATGTGATTATTAGAAAGTTAAATTTGGCATGCCACCTACATGTCCCAATGACAAATCACTGACTCACCTCACAGTACTTGCCAACTCCACAATCGCTAGATGAAGCCAATTCCCCGTATCCTTCTAGGATTCATCAGTCTACAAACGGCAACAGAAGAGCTGGTCTATATTGCTTCTTTAAACTTGCCTACAGTCTGCTAAGTTCCCCTATGTGGATTACTACGTCCTGGAAAGCTAAAGAAGAACTGGTTCTGGATCTCCTAAAACTTCACCACCTTCACAGGAAAATACAGAAGTTTAGCTACCCTGTTGGAATCCTATCAGCTCCTTCTGTAATGTTCACAGCAACGGCTGGGGGAAGAGACCTAAAAGCATAGATGACACAGCCCAGAACCTTTCTTCTCACATCTAGGTCAAAGGAAAACAATACCTTTTCTGTAATTAAGGCAGAGTAAACAGAACAGGGATTCCCATTACTACATACGGACTTAGGTAAGTTGTTCAGGACATAACTAAGACACAAATGGCAGTTGACCCAGGAATTAAGTAACGCAGAATTCGCAATTATTCCTAAGGGTCTACCATTTATTGTTATGTCTACAACAGGGGTAGAGAACCTTTCTTCTGCCAAGAGCCACCTGGATTTTTTGTTTTTTATAATTTTTAAAAGATTTACTTATTTGAAAGGAAGAGCGAGAGAAAGAAAGGTCTTCCATCCTTTGGATTACTCCTCAAATGGCTGCAACAGCTGGAGCTGGGCCGATCTGAAGCCAGGAGCTTCTTCCAGGACTCCCACATGAGTGCAAGGGCCCAAGGAGTTGGGCCATTTTCCACTGCTTTCCCAGGAACATTAGCAGGGTACTGGATGGGAAGTGGAGCAACAGGGACTCACAACTGACGCCCACATGAGATGCCAGCACTTTAGGAGGCGGCCTTACTTGCTACGCCACAGCGCCATCTCTACCTAAATATTTATAACATCATTCACGGACCACTCAAAGTTATCAACTTAAAAATTCACCTTTAGTGCCAGCAACCCATATGGGCACCAGTTTAAGTTCTGGCTGCTCAACTTCCAATCCAGCTACCAGCTAATGTGCCTGGGAAGGCAGCAGAAGATAGTCCACATGGGAGACCAGGAAGAATTTCCTGGCTTCTGATGAACCCAGCTCCAGCTCTTTTGGCCATTTGGGAGTGAACCAGTGATGGAAGACTGCTCTATCTCTCGATCTCTCTCAGCATCTCTGTAAATCTGCCTTTTAAATAATTTTTTTTTTTTTTTTGGACAGGCAGAGTGGACAGTGAGAGAGAAACAGAGAGAAAGGTCTTCCTTTTTGCCGTTGGTTCACCCTCCAATGGCCGCCACGGCCGGCGTGCTACGGCCGGCACATTGTGCTGATCCGAAGCCAGGAGCCAGGTGCTTCTCCTGGTCTCCCATGCGGGTGCAGGGCCCAAGCACTTGGGCCATCCTCCACTGCTTTCCCGGGCCACAGCAGAGAGCTGGCCTGGAAGAGGGGCAACCGGGACAGAATCCGGCGCCCCGACCAGGACTAGAACCTGGTGTGCCGGCGCCGCTAGGCGGAGGATTAGCCTAGTGAGCCGCAGCACCGGCCTCAAATAAATCTTTTTAAAAAATTAGCCTCCTATAATAAACTGAGTCCACCCCAGCAGCTGCCTTGACAAGGGCAGACCAAATGATTTCACAGCCTTACACGGCCCCCCAGGCTGTACATGGCCCACCCCTGGTCTACATGAGGACACTGTACAAAGCACTCATATCTCTACCCACAATCCTGAGAGAGGTATGCCCATCCCCACAGTACAAGGGGAAACAGGCTCAGGGAAGTTAGGCAGTTCGACTAAGGGCACATACATAAATGGAAAGCAGGACTGGAACTCTGATCCATGATGTCACAGTGCACTCTCCCCCGTGCTGTGTTCCCAGGAAGTAAGAAAGGAGGAACTGGAACAGCCACCCAGGCACCCCACTCAGGGTGTTCCGGACGCAGCCCCATGGGGCTTTCATACCGCCAGTAAGTTCCATGGTTAGCTTCTCATTTTCAATCATTTTCTTCTTTTCTTCTAGCTCAGCAATCAGGTTCTCTTTCAGCTCAACCTTCTTGTCTTCAAATTCTTTCACTGCTGCCTTCTTTTCTTTAATGTAATTTCTTTCTACTTGTTCAGTCTGAGCAAAAGAAAAAACACAGGCCACAGGGATTTGGTCTAGGGAGCCAAGGAATGAACTCAAAGTGTGGCTTTGTCCTCAACAGCAAAACATCAGAAATACAGTCTGTGTCTGTGTCTCTCTCTCTCTCTCTCTCTCTCTCACACACACACACACACACACACACACACACAGAGATATCCCTGAGCAAGTTTTCCAAAGAATGCATAAAACTAAGCCACAAAACGTTTGCTTTTGTTAAAGTATACCTCAGTTGCTATAAAGGCATTTCTCCTCTACTAGTCTTAGATGTTAAAACATACTATCAGTTTCTCAAAGACAATAAACAATCCCATATAATGACAATTTCAAAGGGAAGTAGTATGTGCTTTTCAGATGAAATATCTAAATTCAAAATTAATTATATGATAGTAAAGATGAGGCCAGCACCATGGCTCACTTGGCTAATCCTCCACCTGTGGTGCCAGCACTCCGGGTTCTAATCCTGGTTGGGGCACCAGTTCTAGTCCTGGTTGCTCCTCTTCCAGTCCAGCTCTCTGCTGTGGCCCGGGAGGGCAGTGGAGGATGGCCCAGGTCCCTGGGCCCTGCACCTGCATGGGAGACCAGGAGGAAGCACCTGGCTCCTGGCTTTGGATCGGCGCAGTGCACCGGCCGCAACAGCCATTGGGGGGTGACCCAACAGAGAAAGGAAGACCTTTCTCTCTGTCTCTCTCTCTCTAACTCTGCCTGTCAAAAAAAAAAAAAAAAAAAAAAAAAAAAGAAAAAAGAAAAAGAAAAAAGAAAAAGAAAAAAAAGATAGTAAAGTTGAAGAGCAGGAGCTAATATTCCTAACACATTAAGATAAAGCACAGTTGAGGCCGGTGCTGTGGCGTAGCGGGTAAAGCTGCCACCTGCAATGCCGACATCCCATATGGGTGCTGGTTCGAGTCCTGGCTGCTCCACTTCTGATCCAGCTCTCTGCTATGGCCTGGGAAAGCAGTGGAAGATGGTCCAAGTGCTTGGGCCCCTGCACCCACGTGGCAGACCCGGAAGAAGCTCCTGGCTCCTGGCTTTGTATCAGCCCATCTTCAGCCGTTGTAGCCATTTGGGGAGTGAACCAGCAGATGGAAGACTTCTTTTTCTCTCTGCCTCTGCCTCCCTGTAACTCTGCCTTTCAAATAAATAAATGAATCCTTAAAAAAAGAGCAACCATAGTGGATCCTGTTAGGTACCCCAACTCCAAACTACTTAAACAATGAGACCAAACTAAACTAACTGCCTAAGCATACATTTTTAAAATCTCACCGTTGTGCTAATAAGTGAAGAACAAGGGACCCAGAGTGAGCTGGGTGTGGCTCCTGTGATCAGTTGGGTCCTGAATGACTACGGGATTTCAGATACTCTGAGTACTAAAATGGTTTCCAACAATAAAGCATGGCCTTCTCAGAAAGTGCTCCTCACACGCACTTGCAGGCCAGCACTCCAGCTGTAGGCCCTCGTCTCCGGGCTGCAGGCTGAGACACACGCACTCCAGTACTTAGCTGTCTGTGCAGTGGGAAGATAAAAACGTCACTTTCCTACTGGCCCACAGAGCTCCAGCTGTAAAATGAAACTGTGGAACCAATTCAGAGACTAAGTCACTTTGAGAACCAGTATCAAATTAGGCCATTATAGTTCAGACTTATCTCCAAATGGCTTTAATGTGAGATAAAAGTCAACAAGGAAGCAGTGAGGAGTAACCAGTCCTCCATCGCCTGTGATAAACAGAGGCTCTCCAAACAACAAATGAACAGACAGGACGGCTGAGCTGAGTGGAACAGCTGTTAGTCACACAGGACCATGCTGAAGGCTTGCAAGTTCATTTGGTAAAGAAGGAAAAGCTGACACACCAGGAGAGCAAGAGTCCAGTCTCAGAAAGATCCATGGTACTTACTTCCAGCTGAAGGAAAAGTTCTGAAAGAGATAAAAAAAAAAAAGTCTAATTATATTTGCTAGGTTCTGTCACTTTCTAGACTGTGATGCTAAGATCCATTTATAAGCAGTAATTGCCTTCTGAAAGGACGTTACACAAAACAACCGTTTTCATCAGTAACGTGTTGATATATGTGAAGGGGAAGCAGGCCAGAGGTACTGCTGTCTCCCTAATTTGTGGTCTGAAGAGAGCCAGTTCTGGCAGCTCTCCCTAAGGGCAAAAGCAAGCAGCAGGAACCATACCACCTTGGCCAGTCCAAGTTTCGCTCCTCTCTCACTCAGTCGGCACCATCCCTGCACCAGCATCGCAGGTCAGGAAGAAACACTGTGGTTACTTCCAAAGCAGAGTCAAGGCCGGTGTTTTTAACACCCACGGGAAGGGGTATGTGTGGGAAGGAAGGACAGCTTTCAAGCTCCCCTGAGGCTTTCCTCCCAGCCCCTCCCAGCACTCTGCTCATACTGGGCCTCGGCCAGCACTGCCCTTGGCCTCTCTGACCACATTCCAATGCAGTCCCCTCCCTGAGGCCCCTTCAAAGCATGAACCCCCTCACAGACACCTCACAGTATCAACCCAACAGTAATCAATAGGTTATTTACCACCTGCTGTGTGCCAGCCAATTAATCACTCTTCACTCAGCAGCTCCCACCACTAGGTGATAAGCCCCCCCAAAACCCAGGACTTGGAACACAACAGGTCTGTGGCTGCCAGTCTTTTCTGGGTGACATTGTGTCTGCAGAACATCTGTAGCGTGTGGTAAACTGAGCTCCAAAAACCAATACTCTGCTTAAAGGCCAAGACCTAAAGTAATGGAAGCAGGATCTGAGCCTAGGACTCTCTTCCTCACAATGCATCCCTGGACCTGCTATGGGGGGATGGGGGGACCTGGTTGAGGGCTTCAAAGTGATAGATGCGGAAACTGAACCCAGAACTGTCTTGTAATCCACAACTACATACTGGTGAGCCAGTCGCTCCTGTGGGTGCTAGTGTACCCTGCCCCCTTTTCCAAGTCTTACAGATCCTACAGAACCGTTCCCCATAAGTAGTACACTCACATGCATATTCACACATATTCCACAGGACTTTGTGAGTGCTAGGAACCCCAGATTAAGAGCCCAGAGAGCAATTAGCAGTTGTAGAAAACCAATACTGAGGAAAGGGGCAAATCACTCAGTTTTTAACCCTCAGAAGCCCTGACGGTTTGGCCCATGAGTGCAAGCACACTCAGCCCAACAATCTCACTCCCATGTTTGCTTCACACCAGGCCACACACTAACAGGCCAGACACCGGAAGGCCGGGGCCCTTCTGAGAAATCACACAGCAGCAGTAAGTCAAAATGACAAGCAGCTCTTAGCGCTGGCAGCTGCTGTTTCAGTTACAACAGTCAGACACAGACAACTACAGCAGGTGGGTTATCTCTGCAAAAATGCGCTTTTTAAAGCTCAAGTGTGACTGATTTAGGAGCTCTTTTGCATTTTTACCTGGGTGGGGGTGGGGAGAGGAGAGAGATTTAAGAAATACACAGACCAGGACTGAGTCCGTAAGTACAATTAAGAATAATTCAATACTCACTCTGCTACTCCAGCTTAAGAAAAATGGTTCATATGAATTTCATTTCCTTATTTATATCTTAAATCAAGTCCCTGAGTAATCAGCAGTCCCCTTTACAGACAGGGAAACTGACGCCCCAAGAGACAATATCCTGCTTAAAGGCACAGACCCGAAGTGATGGAAGCCAGATCTGAACCCCAAGACTGCCTTCCTCCACACAAGGCACCTCCTGGACCTGCTAAAGGGGAGCTCCAGGAGAAGTTTTCAAGGACATGCTTCAGCAACTCAGAGCGCAGCGGGGAGGCAGCAGGGGCAGGCAAGCAGGATGGTGGGCGGAAGGCTGACTGCTCTGATTCCCTCTTCCCAGCATAGCCACACCCTCAGTTCCTTTTCTATCTGCTGATGTCCACTGGACTTCTCGCTGGAGAAGGTAACAAAAGCTTAAGCTTTCCATACCGATGAAACCTGGGAGTCTCCAAATCAGAACTCGGCAAAGCAAAAGGAGTGGTACTGAGACCGCACTTTAAAATCTATGTTATGGGGCAGGCACATGCTAGTGGTTAAAACACCATGTAGGATGTCCACATCCCACATCAGAGTGCCTGGACTCGAAATGCACCTCTGGCTCTTGAATCCGATTTTCTGCTAACACAGACCCTAGGAGGCAGCAGTGACAGCTCAAGTAACTGGATTCCTGACACCCAGATGAGATGTGGACAGAGCTCCCAGATCCTGCCTTCAACTCAGGCCAGGCTTAGCCATTGCAGACATCTGAGGACTACTATCTGTCTCCGCTTCTTAGATAACAAACAAAAACCAGCAACATTACTTCTACCATGATAAGAACACACAGCACCCTGGCAGCACTCAAAAATGCAAGCTGGTAATGAACTAGAACCCAGGTTTACACATTTTAGATAGCTGTCACATCTATTTTCTGCAGGACTTAGGAACTCACATTTACTCAACAAATCGTTGAGTGAATAATTTACCACGAGCAACAGACTAAAAGCATGCCCTTTCCCCTAATGCTTGCAATACCTGGGGAGATTACAAGAGGACAACCCTGTCCCCAGAGCAGAGAATACTCGGGAAAAGAGAAATGGGAGTAAAACCTTGTTCACATCAGCACCGCTGACCACCCATTAAGTCAGCCACGCTCACATGAGCAAGTGTGTACACTTCTGTTGGGGTACAAGGGAGCAGAATCTGACTGCCCAGGGCCACCCATGACTACTGAACCATTCTTGGGCAACTAGGAAAGAAGATAAGTCAATTTTACATCACTGTAGCTAGAGCCTCTCTTCCCAAAAACTCCCTCCTCAATGGAGAATCTGAAACACATCGGGGCACCACTTTTAGGGCGGCACTGCCTCCGGGATCAGCAAAGGTGGACAACGTAAGGCTGACCTGCACTTTAACAAGGCTTACCTGCGTTTCGGATCCTTTCTTTGTACTGCTGATCTAGTTTTTTCATTCTCTTCTGATATTCCTGTAAGGTACCTGATTTGAGAATTTACAAAATAGTTACTTTAGGGATCAATCTGTTTCCTAACATTATCTTTGAGCACCAACAGTGATATTTTAATAACACCAGAGTAAAAGACAAATGCAGGAAAGCCCGACCTGGGCAGAGTTAACTGGATCTTGGTTCTTGGCCAAGGCAGCAAAAATCAAATTAGTTGGACCTAATCTGAGTCCACCCCAACCCAGTGGCCCAAGACTCTCCCATGAGGGGGTGTGGAAGGATCCAGACACCCCAGGTGCTATCAGTCCCTGGCTGCTGGACAGTGTGTATCCCTTTACAGGAAAAATCTTCTAGGTCAAGGCTGTCCAGCAGAATGCTCTGCCAACAGTAGAAATGTACTACATGTGCACTAATATGGTAGCCATCGGCCATGTGTGGCTATATTAGCTCTTGAAACTAATGTGACCAAGCAAGTGAATTATTGTTATTTAATTAAATAGCTACTTGTGGCTATGCCAGTTCTAGACAGCTCTAGTTTAGATTCTAACTGAATCCCTACTTATTTCACTGCTCTTCCCCAAAAAGCCAAGAATCACGGTCCCAATTTGAGAAGGAAACCTGTTCTAATAATGTCTGTCCCTGACCCAGGCTAAGGGAGTAAATCATGTAGAACTAAAATATCTAGAGGAAAAGCAGTTTCACAGATGTGGGACTCCATAATATGAAGTCAAAGAGCTAAAGGTAGCAGCTAATGGCCCCGAGTTCTTACGGGGGCCCAACACTCCTCACCTATAAATTCACCCACTCCTATTTTCTTCATTTTGCAGATAAGAAAAAAGATAAAGAGAAAGGGATATGACCAAGGTCACATTCCTAGAGACACTGGGGTTCAAACCAATCATTGAGCTCAGCCCATGTTCTTAACCCTCACACTTGCACTGCCTTCAGTAGCCAAAAGCAACAGACAAGATCCACTTTTTATTTAAAGATTTCTTTAATTTATTTGAGAGGCAGAGTTACAGACAGAGAGAGGGAGAAGAAAGTCCTCCATCTGCTGGTTCGCCTTCCCATGTGGCCGCAATGGACAGAAACTGGGCCAATCCAAAGCCAGGAGTTAGGCGCCTCCTCCAAGTCTCCCATGTGGGTGCAGGGGCCCGAGGACTTGGGCCATCTTCCACTGCTTTCCCAGGCCATAAGCAGAGAGCTGGATCAGAGCAGCAGCCAAGACTCAAACTGGCACCCATATGGGATGCTGGCAATGTAGGTGGAGGCTTAGCCCACTACACCACAGCACCAGCCCCAGATCTAGTTCATTTTTAATTTACCAAGAAAAGAGAAAAAACAGTATGGATAATCCACAGTTCATTAACATTTGGTTGAGATAGAGTAGTAAAACTAACTATTCTTTGCTACAATAATATCTAGCTTTAGACACAGTGATAAATTCATGTCCTATAAAAGCCCCAATTGAAATTTCATTTGAAGAATTAATCTGTTACTTTTTTTTTTGCCTTTTTCAAAGTGTTTATCTTTTATTTATTTTCTTTTAAATTTATTTGAAAGTCAGAGTTACACAGAGAGAGAAGCAGAGAGAGAGAGGTCTTCCATCCGATGGTTCACTCCCCAACTGGTCACAACAGCTGGAACTGCGCCGATCCGAAGCCAGGAGCCAGGAGCTTCTTCTGGGTCTCCCACGCGGGTGCAGGGGCCCAGGTGACTTGGGCCATCTTCTACTTCTTTCCCAGCCATAGCAGAGAGCTGGATCAGAAGTGGAGCAGCCAAGTCTCGAACTGGCACCCATATGGGATGCTGGTGCTTAAGGCCAGGGCGTTAACCCGCTGAGCCACAGTGCCGGCCCCAAACTGTTACATTTTAAAAATAAATTAATGGGGCCAGTGCCACGACGTAGCAGTTTGACACTGCGGCATGGAGGGTAAAGCCGCTACTCACAATGCCGGCATCCCACATGGGAGGCAGTTGGTTCCTGTCCCAGCTGCTCCACTTCTGACCCAGCTCCCTGTGACGGCCTAGGAAAAGCAGAAGTTGGCCCAAGTGTTTGGGTCCCTGCCACACACATGGGAGACCCAGAAGAAGCTCCTGGCTTCAACCTGGCTCAGATCTGGCGATTGGGGCCATCTGGGGAGTGAACCAGCGGATGGAAGATCTCTCTGTCTCTCCCTCTAACTCGGACTTTCAAAGTAAATAAATCTTCCTAAAAAAAAAATCACTTTAGTGAGAGAAGATAGCAAAACATGCAGTAGATCGCTAAAACCAGCCAGATCCCCTTTTAAGCCACTGCCGCAGAGAAGTGAGATTCACACACCGAAGATTTGAAGCTAACAGTGAAGGATTCAGCCACACACTGACCTTCCTGCAGTTGCTGCAACTGCCTCTTGAGAGAAGCCAGTTTGTCCTGATACATCCTGTGAAGAAAGAAAAGCCATGCTGAAAAGCAGAACACTCAATACTCCATTCAAACATGGTCCTCGCAGGAATTACCTGGGATGTTACGGGAACGTCAATCCTAACATTTAAGAGACTGGCTCATTTAAAGTGGACCAGTACAGGGGTCAAAAAAGGACTGCATCCCACATCAGAGCGCCTGGATTCTAGTCAAGGCTCCACTCTCCATTGCAGCTTCCTACGAACACAGACCCCGGGAGGCAGCAAGTGACGACTCAAGTAACTGGGTTCTTGCCACCTACAAGAGAGGCCTGGAATGGGTCCCTGGCACCTGATATTGGGGAGTAAACCAGTGGGTGGGAGTTCTTTCCCTCTATCTCTCAAATAAATAAAAATTTAAAAATTAAAATAAGACCTTCAAATATGAAGACAGCTATTATAATAACTAACGATAAGCAGAGCTAGGTTAGAATATACAAGGAAACTAAGTGTGATGCCATCATACTTTAGATCTAGAAGCTTAACACACACACACAGAAAATGGCGTTAATAAACTCCTCTATCAACTCTGCAGTTAGATTATAAGTTCCAAAGGAGTTTTCTACAGACAGCAAACTGTATAAATAACCCTCATGCATACTATATCAATAAGCGATCATGTCATTTTAAAATGCACTACTCTTTCAAGATCAGAAAAATAATAGTAATTCAGAAACAACAAAAAAATGCAGGATTTGCAGACCCATCTGGGTGAGTGGGCACAGCACACACCAGGCAAAAAAATGAGGTGTGCTATTTCCTTACTCTTCCATTAGAGGCAATTACACATGGCACCAAGTCTGTCTGAATGGTGATTCCCCACATACATCAAATCTCAGCAGTATTTCTGCTTCTACCTGAAAAACATTCCCAATTGCACATGACAGAGGACTTCCAACCTGAAAGAACACTGTCCAACATATAACAGCTGCAGAAGCCTTCTGATGGCCAAACACAGGCTGTAAATCCAACCAGCTCTAGAGGCAGAATCTGAGATTAACACAGCTCTGACTCATTCAGGGCCAATCCTGACGCACTCCCGATGCTCACAGGGCATTCAATTTAAGGGCTTGAGCTGTGCTGCAGCAGGTCAATCTACTGCCTGCAACGCCAACATCCTATATAGGTGTCAGTTCAAGTCCAAGCTGCTCCACTTCCAATCCGGCTCTCTGCTAATCTGTCTGGCAAAGTAGCAGAACATGGCCCAAATCCTTGGGCCCTTGCACCCATGTGGTAGACCTGTGGATGAAGCTCTGGGCTTCGGCCTGGCCCAGCCCCAGCCAACGTGGTCACCTGGGGAGTGAACCAATGAATGAACATCTGTCTCTCCCCTCTGTCTCTCAATTAAATAAATCTTTAAAAAAAAACTAATTTCTACATTAACAAATCTTAAGGAAGTATATTCAACAAAAAAGATATCTCTTTTTTAAAAAAAGATTGATTTATTTGAAAGTCAGAGTTACAGAGCGAAAGAAGGAGAAGCAGAGAGAGAGACAGGTCTTCCATCAGCTGGTTCACTCCTCAGTCGGCCGCAATGGACAGAGCTGCACCGAAATCCGAAGCCAGGATCCAGGAGGGCTCTCAGGTTCTCCCATGCAGGTGCAGGGGTGCGAGGACCTGGGCGATCTTCCTCTGCCTTCCCAGGCCACAGCAGAGAGCTGGATCGGAGGTGGAGCAGCTGGGACTCGAACCAGCACACACATGGGATGCCGGCAATGCAGGCGGCAGCTTCACCCACTATGCCACAGTGCCAGCCCCAAGATACCTCTTTAAAAAAAGGGGGGGGGGGGCAGGGGGACTGGCGCTGTAAGAAAAAAATAAATTAAGAGGCTGGCACTGTGGTGCAGCAGATAAAGTCGCCATCTGCAGCGCTGGCATCCCATATGGGCCCCAGTTTGAGACCCGGCTGCTCCATATACCATCCAGCTCTCTGCTATGGCCTGGGAAAGCAGTAGAAGATGGCCCAAGTGCTTGGGCCCCTGCACCCACGTGGGAGACCCAGAGGAATCTCCTGGCTCCTGATCGGCTCAGCTCCGGCTGTTGTAGCCATTTACAGAGTGAACCAGCAGATGGAAGATGGAAGATCTTTCTCTCTCTCTGCCTGAGTAGCTCTGCCTTTGAAATAAATAAATAAATCTTCAAAAAAATCAAGTACACGAGAAAGAACAGACAAGTCAACTGTGCACCAGAAGTCAGTATTCAGAATCCCGGATATTAAATGTTCTCACACACTGCAGGTGCTAGCCAAATACCTTAGAATTCTGAGTCTATTCTGAAAGAAAAAAACCGATTGAAGAAGCAAACAGAAAAAAAAATTCAGATTCAGTGAGATCACATATGGTGAAAACAGGAATGTGAAAATGGACCCCAAACAGCTCAAGATGAATCAGCTAAAAGCCTTGAGCGAATACAGAGAGATCATATGAATTATTAAGTAATCCTCCTTTATTCGGCATTGGTCAGGCCTAACTGAATTACCCCCACTGAATTCCAAAGCATAAAAATAATGGCCATAAGATACTTGTTAATACAGACTGGAAAGGAAAGAATGTAGATCTAACTTAAAGAATTTTAAAAGTTGGTGCCGGTACTGTGGCTCAGCAGGTTAAAGCCACCGCCTACAGCACCAGTATCCCATAAGGGCAGCGGTTTGAGACATGGCTGCTCCACCTCCAATCCCAGCTCCCTGCTAATGCACCTGGGAAAGCAGTGGTAGACCCGGAAGAAATTCCTGGCTTCAGCCTGGCCCAGGCCTGGCTATTGTGGCCATTTGGGGAGTGAACCAGCAGACAGAAGATCTGTCTCCCTCTCTCATTGTAACTCTGCCTTTCAAATAAATAAACCTTTACCAAAAAAAAGAGTTTAAGTCAAGATCTTCCAATTACATTCAACAAACACTTACTGAAACACTTAACACTATCTCCCATTTAAGCCTACAATAAAAGTGCGTGGGGTTTCACTTCTCTGGCCATGTTTGGCTGTGGCTGTGTGTGAAGACAATGAGAAGGCCGGGCTGAGGATGGGCGTGAACGCGGACAGAGCCCGGGCTCCAAGCTCTCACATACTGTCCAGCATGTCGTCGGCTCTCATGGATTCATGCCCTTCAGAGAACCCAGGTGCTTGAAGAAACCTGAGCACTGATTTTTCACATCCAAAAAAATGAAGAGCAATGCCATAAAGTTATCTGCTGTTTTAAACGCCCTTGTTATCTATTTCTACTAGGCTGTCACAAAACACACCAGACACCGGAGTAAGGAAAAGGGTTTATTGGGGAAAACCCAACAGACCAGAGGGGTGGGGTAGCGAAGGGAAAAAGGGCAGCTTGTCTGGGAAGGGGGTCTAATATACCTTTTCCAGAGGGCGGGCAGTGAGGTAGGAATTGGCCAATCCCATTAGGTTGAGGGTGGAGCTTGGCACAGGTAGTTTGGGCCATGTGGCTACCTGGCTTTCAGCTATGGCGGTGGGAACCGGGGTATAGAATGTAAATCAGGTGTAGATCGTGCCACAGATAAGACTGTGCCTGCGCCATTTTCCTAACAGCCCTTATTCTCTCTCCCTTGATCATTTCCTTCAAAGTTCTTCGTAGCCTACCCTCAAGAGTCTTTTTTTTTAACAGATAGAGTTAGACAGTGAGAGAGGAGACAGAGATAAAGATCTTCCTTCCGTTGATTCACCCCCAAATGGCTGCTGTGGCCGGCGCTGTGCCGATCCGAAGCCAGGAGCCAGGTGCTTCCTCCTGGTCTCCCATGGGGTGCAGGGCCCAAGCACTTGGGCTATCCTCCACTGCCTTCCCGGGCCACAGCAGAGAGCTGGACTGGAAGAGGAGCAACCGGAACTAGAACCCAGCGCTCATATGGGATGCCGGCAGCGCAGGCGGAGGATTAACCAAGTGAGCCATGACGCTGGCCCCTCAAGAGTCTTAGAAGAGGAAGATGAATGAAACATGACTCATTTGGAGGTGGGAACAGCACACATTCGCATGGTCTTTGGAAGTACTGTAGTTCAAAATAATTCATGAGGTCAAGTCCAGATTCTACTGCTAGTTCCACGTCCCACAGAAGAAAGACAAATCACTCACTGCTCCTTCACTTCCACGTAGTCCTCTTCCTCATGCTTGGCCAGGTCAGTCTCACTAGCATCCTCGGTGTCTGAAGAGAAACACGCAAGGCGGCTTGGTTACAATCGTGACTCGTACAGCTGGCACAGGGCAAGCACTTCCTAAACTCCTGCAAGACGAACTCTACTTAACACACGCTTGCATGAAGCCACCAACAAGAAACAGTGACTATACTTACTTCAGAAAATAAAGCGCCGTTCCCCACTTACACAGTTCACACAAAGAGCTTGCCTATCTGAAGCCCAGCCGGAGAGTAGGGTGCCCGAGACGCCGGTGGCCACGGTCAGCTCTGCTGCGTCTGCAGAGGCGGCCACAATGGCAGCTCAGCAAAGACGGGGACCCAAGACCGGACACAGCACACAGCCAAGCCCTACTGCTCCCAAACACACAACACGGTACAACCTAGGCAGGGGCTCACATCCCTGCAGTGCCTGGGTTCAATTCCTGGCCGCCGCTTCCTGCCAGGGCACACCCTAGGAGGCAGAAGGCGATGGCTCAAGTATCCGGGTCCCTGTCACCCACGTAGGAGACGCAGACTGAGTTCCCCGCTCCCATCTGGCCCAGCCCTGGCACTGTGGGCATCCGCGTAGTGACCCAACAAGGAAGAGCTCTCTGCCTCTTGAAACACAAGAAAACACCCAGTGCAAGCTGAGTTTTGTTTATCCAAAACGCCTGTGACCCAAAGTGCTGGGAACCGTGTTTTACTTGGGGATATTTGCATGGACTTTACGAGTTCAACATCCCTAAGCCAGAAGCCCAAAATCCGAACCTTGCTGGGCATGACGGGCACTTGAAAAGTTCTGGATTTTGGGTTTTCGGATTACAGATGCTCAGCCTGTGTGTGCACTGCCCCGTCGGGGCCCTCCACGCATTTTACATCAGATACAGCTGAGGAACTCCTAAAAGTTCATGGAAAACAGAATTAAAGGAACCTTTATTTGGCACACAAACATTTTTTTCAGTTCCACACATATAACAAAGGTGAATTCTACAGAACACACTGAACTCTAATAACAGATCTTCCCAAAGCTATAACTAAAGTGAACAACCAAACACCAAGTTCATGTGATTGGGGGGGGGGGGGGGGCTCAATTTTGGTTTCACAGCTCCACCTGGTGGACACGAAAAGCAGCACAAGCAACTCCGACTCCCAGTCCGGCTCACCCTTGCCTCCAAGCTTCTCTAAATCCAACGCAGTTTCTTCAACTTCGCGTCCCGCACAAGCAGCTGGCCGCCTTGCTCCTTCATTCTAGAGAGTTCCCTGCGCCGGCCCCATTCACTACCGGGCCCGCGGGAGGCCGAGCTGCATCCCACCCCCCGCACCCCAGCCGGCGGGGGCAGCCTCTCCCTCCCGCCTCTCTCGCACCCTTTGACCTTTCCTCGTCCCCCCCCACCCCGACCCCGCCCCGGTCCTCCAAAAACAGCCCGGGCTGCATACATCCTACAAAGCTTAGCCCTGGACCTGAAACCCAGAGCTCTGAGCCGGAGGGACCACGAGTAGGAGCACTCGGCGCCGCAAACACACCGGGGCGGCCATGCAGCAAATGCGTCTCGCCCTCGGCTTCCCCCGGGAGGCGGAGACGCCGCGAGCCGGGGACCCGGCAGAGCACGGGCTGCTCGCTACCTCGCCGACTCCTCACGCCCACCCGGGGCGGCCCGGGGGCACAGCGCCCACCTGCACCTGCACCTGCACCTGCACCGGGCCGGCGGCAGCTCCCGCTCGGCCTCCCACCCCCGCGCCCCGGGAAGCCACGCCGGGCGCTCGTCGCGTTCTCTCGATGACGAAAAGGAACATTAGTGCACTCCACGGGCGGCCGTCCCGTTCCGCCCGGAGAGGGCCGAGGGGCAGCCACAGACGGTTGGGGGGTGGGGTGCCGGAGTCTTAAAGGGCCCTCCCGCTCTGACGACTTGGAAGTCCCCTCTCCTCGTAGCCACCGGGGTACCACGCACCCACGGCTCCGCGCCTCCCCCGCACGTGTGGCGGCGACCCCCACCCCAGGCCGCGCCCCGCCCCGACGCCCCCATCCCCAGCGCTCTCACCCCCGCCCCGCGCTGTCCGGCGGGCTGGGGTCGCACCTTCGTCCGACTCGCGGCCCCGACAGCTGCGTTCGTCCTCCTCGGCGCTCTCCAGCTCCTCTTCCTCCTCAGGGTAGTACTCCGGGGCCGGCGGCGCTCCAGCCGGGGCCGGGGCCGGAGCCAGCAGCCCCGCGGCACTCATGCCGCCTCTGACCGCAGCTGAGCGTGCCCGGAGGAGACCGCGGCCACCCGCCCTGCGGGCCGGACGTCCGCGGAACTGCGCCCGACCGACTCCCCGACTCGAAGAGCGGGAGCCCGGGCGACCCCTTCCCCGTCTCCGCCGAGCTCCGCCCCCCGCGCCCGCGCTCGGCAACGGGGACCTCGCACCGAAGGCGACTTCCGGGTCGCGGGCTGCCCGACGACGGCCTGACTCCGCCATTCTCGAACGGCTGGAAAGGCCGACAGACGCCTCCTTCGCCGTGAGCCCAGCACCTTCATCGCCGTCTTAAAATCCTCGACGGGTGGCAGAGGAGGGGCGCGGGCCGGCTCTTTGGAGTCAGGCAAATCCACGGGCAGCCCTAGCCGCGGCCAGGACCCCATCGTTCACGGGAGGCTTCCGGAAACAGCCGCCAGGCGGCGCCCGCGGCCACAACGAAGCGAGGGCCGCCGGCGACCTGAGGGGCGGAGGGGTTAGAGGGCCGGCGGCAGGTGGACGTGCTGGACCGTCCTCCTAATAGGGCGGGAAGTCTACACGTCCAGAGTACGTGGTCATGCAGGAAAAGGGAGGTGGCCCCTCCCCGAAGTGGAACGTTATTAAGAATTGAAATAAAGATTAAAATGCAGGTAGCCCATGGTACGGTCATCAGGCCGGTAAAAAAAAAAAAAAAAAAAAAAAAAAAAAAAACTAGACCGGCCACTTGCTTTTAAAAACATGGTAGCGTCCAGTCTGCTTTCTGTAGACCGCAGATCCAGGCCCTCCAGAGCACAGCTGCCTCGCATGGCCGCCGATGTTAACGTTTTCACGGTGTTTCCGCCGACCCAGTAGCTTTCCAACCAACTACAGCTGGGCACGGCCCCACAGAGGGAGAATCTGGGTCCAGGAAGAAAGACCCGGGCTGAAGACAGGCGCCTGGATTACGGGGCGGCTCAGCCAGCGGACGCAGGCGCCCTGGGCTGGGGAACACACCGTCCGCCCGGTGTGCGTGCGTAGGGAGAAAGGGATGCAGCTCCCACGTTTGATGGTTTGTGCCAAGTGACCCCGCTCTTCAGGCGGCTCCCACGTCTGCACAGAGCAAGGAGCAAGCAGGGAAGCTGACCCAGGAGTTCGGCCACAGCCCGGGGCCCGAGCGCCGGTTCCAGACACGGCTGCTCCACTTCCCATCCAGCTCTCCGCTGTGGCCTGGGAAGGCAGTAGAAGATGGCCCAAGTCCTTGGGCCCCTGCACCCACATGGGAGACCTGGAAGAAGCTCCTGGCTCCTGGCTTCGGATCGGCCCAGCTGTGGCTGTTGCGGCCATTTGGGGAGTGAACCAGCAGGTGGAAAACCTCCCTCCATCTCCCCTTCTCCTCGCTGTATCTCTGCCTCTTAAACGAATACACAAATCCTAGAAAAAAGAAAAAAGGTAAAGCCGACCAGAAATGTGGGAGCCGGGCAGGAGCTCGTGTTCTGGTTCCGTGATCCTCTGTGGCCTGGGTGGAGTTGGTTTGGGTATGTCCTGTGGACCACCTTGTTTTATTCAAATCTGTTCCGTCTTTGAGAGGGATTTTTTCCTCCCAACAAAACCCGAGAATTTGCAGAATGGAACCTTGCAGTGTCTTTCCAGGAGTTCGTGGATCTTCAGAGACTCCTTCTAAACAAGGGGCACTCGGGCTCACTGTGCTTCTGCCGTCCAGGACTGGCTCGTCCAGAGGAGGAAGCCATTGTCCTCTCCTGTGCTGTGCTTCCTATCTGAGTTATTTGTAATCAGCTCTCTTGAGCAGCCTGAGTCCCTGTCAGCAACAACGATCGCAGGGCAGAAAAAGCATCCGCGGGTTAGAAATCAGGGTTTGGCCGGCACCGCGGCTCACTAGGCTAATCCTCCGCCTTGCGGCGCCGGCACCCCGGGTTCTAGTCCCGGTCGGGGTGCCAGATTCTGTCCCGGTTGCCCCTCTTCCAGGCCAGCTCTCTGCTGCAGCCCGGGAGTGCAGTGGAGGATGGCCCAAGTGCTTGGGCCCTGCACCCCATGGGAGACCAGGAGAAACACCTGGCTCCTGCCAAGGGATCAGCACGGTGTGCTGGCCGTGGCGGCCATTGGAGGGTGAACCAATGGCAAAGGAAGACCTTTCTCTCTGTCTCTCTCTCTCTCACTGTCCACTCTGCCTGTCAAAAAAAAAAAAGAAATCAGGGTTCACTGGTATCATGAAGCCCCCCCCAAAAGGTCAGTTTTGCTGCTAAATGGTTTCCTTGCAAGATGCTGGGATGTCTATGGTTTATTTCCATCTCCTTGATTGCAAACAGCAGCTGTTAATGGTTATGCATTTATTTTTTTCTATGTAACGAACAGAGACAATGGAACTCTTGGGTGCTGAAGAGTGTCCCCATTTCTCATACCCAGATTCCCAACGGCAGAACGGGCAGGATGAGTCCCTAACAAGTAAATACTCCTCAATGAGGCGAACGACCCACAGCCTTAGCCGTCCTCGATTTTTATAGTAAAACGCAAGTTTACTCAAAGCCGGGTTCTCCCTCCTTAGAATCTTTGGTTCCTTCCTAAAGGGCCTCTCAGCCAAGCTGCTCAGTGGCAGAAAGGCCCCCTCCCCCGGCCCCACCTCCGGGCTTCTTGTCCCTGCAGACCCCCCTGCAGACCCCAACACCCACACAAAAGGAGAACACGGTGCAAGCTGGGATCAGGAGCCGGTACCAGGAATTAAACCCAAGTACTTGGACATGGGAGTCCTAACTGCTAGGCCAGACCCTAGAGCGCATGATTTTTAAACATCAGGGCAATATATTTACTGTTGAAAACAGTGTCAGCAGGACCAAAGGAGTTCATGATGGAGGCTTCTGAGAGCTAAAGGCTGCATACATTATTTTAAAGATTTGTTTATTATGCCAGCGCCGCGGCTCAACAGGCTAATCCTCCTTGCGGCGCTGGCACACCGGGTTCTAGTCCTGGTCGGGGCGCCGGATTCTGTCCCGGTTGCCCCTCTTCCAGTCCAGCTCTCTGCTGTGGCCCGGGAGGGCAGTGGAGGATGGCCCAAGTGCTTGGACCCTGCACCCCATGGGAGACCAGGAGGAAGCACCTGGCTCCTGGCTCCTGGCTTCGGATCAGCGCAGTCCGCTGGCCGCAGCGCACCAGCCGCAGCGGCCATTGGAGGGTGAACCAACGGCAAAGGAAGACCTTTCTCTGTCTCTCTCTCTCACTGTCCACTCTGCCCGTCAAAAAATTTAAAAAATATATTTATTTATTTGAAAGTCAGAGTTATAGAGAGGCAGAGAGAGAGAGGTCTTCCAACCGCTGGTTCACTCCCCAAATGGCTGCGATGCCCGGAGCTGGGCCAATCCGAAGCCAGGAGCTTCTTCCTGCTCTCCTACGTGGGTGCAGGGGCCCAAGGACTTGGGCCATCTTCTGCTGCTTTCCCAGGCCACAGCACAGAGCTGGATTGGAAGTGGAGCAGCGGGGACTCAAACCAGAGTCCACTTGGCATGCTGGCACTGCAGGCAGTGGCTTCCCGCGCTACGCCACAGCGCCGGCCCGGGCTGCATACATCTCACAAGGTTTAGCCCCACAATGGGAGCAAGCATGGAGGTTTCATTGTAAGACTGTCAATGTTCAGTGTGCACGAGGCTGCTTCCGGTTTCTGCTGTTGAACGAAAACCATGAAGAGCGGCTCTGAGGGACCTGGCGCACTTTCACCCTTGGCCGGCGCTGGCTTCCAGCCGGGGTCAGCAGGGGTCTGTGCTTAGCACAGGCTGTGCTCGGGTCAAAGCCGGCGTGGCCTTCGGTCCACGCACAATCATTAAAACCTGGGGCCCTGTCCGTGGTGGTGATGAAGAGGCTGGCGGACCCGGGGCTAAAGCTAACACAGGGCTCCGCCAGCCCAGTCCTAGTCCTCCTGTGAGCCTGCGCCTGCCGAGCTGCTGTCCACACTGAAGGCTTCGCAGTGCACAGCACGCACACGGAACAGCACGCAGGGTTCTTCTTTTCTGACAGCATCAAACCGGTATATTACTGACGCAATGCAAGGACAGGCAACTCCCCCGCCAGAAATCCAGCAAATGTGATTGACAAGCCCTGCGTGAATAATCGCCGTGTTCATGTACGGCTGGATGGCTAGCAAACGAAAAGGGTCCTCCCCAGAGGCTCCCAAAAAATGTAAAAGCGCGGGGTGGGGTGCTATGAACTTTGACCTCAGAGCCGAACAAACAACACTGACCGCACCCCAGGCGGGCCCCTGGGTAACTAAAGTTGCAAGGTCTTCCGCGTCTGAGGAAGCCCCGCCCCCTATGACCCGCCCACCGCCAGCTCCGCCAATCCTCGGGCTCCATCGACCGGTCGACTTCACAGGCACTTCCAATCAAGTACCTATATCCGGCCCCGGCCCTGCGCCCTGCGATCAGGGAAGGTCAGTAGAGAGCCTATCGGAGCCGAGCTGAGGGCGTGGTCGGGGGCCAGGGGGCGGGCGTACTGAGAGATTGGGGCGGAGCGCGCTCGGCGCAGTCGGGTGCGATTGGCCACCCCTGGCAGGAGCCGCACCTCGGACAGCAGCGGCGGCGGCCGCGGGAGGGTCGGTGTGGCGCGGGGCGACCGGGTCCTGCGTGGAGAGTGGGACGCGAGGCGGAGACTGTGGCCAGAGGCTGCGCGCGGCCGGCTCCGGCGCTCCGCCACCTGACCCGGGGATTCGCAGGGGTCCAAACCGCGGGAGAGCGACTCGGAACAAGTGTGGAGAGGAAGCGGCGGCGGCGGCGCCGGGCCCGGGGTGGTGACAGCCGGGCTGAGGTGAGAGCCCCGGAGCGCGGGACAGTGACAGCGCGAGCTCCGCGAGGACCCGAGCGAGGGCAGTTCCGGGAGCGCATCTGACAGTGCGGACTGAGGAGAGGAGACCACAGTGGGACCGGGACGGCGGCGTGAGCGCAGGGGACCGAGAGTGTGCGGGTCAGAGAGAGAGGGCAGGGGACCCCAGGTGCAGGTCAGAGAGAGAGGGCAGGGGACCACAGGTGCAGGTAGAGAGAGAGGGCAGGGGACCGAGAGTGTGCGGGTCAGAGAGAGAGGGCAGGGGACCCCGAGTGTGCGGGTAGAGAGAGAGGGCAGGGGACCGAGAGTGTGCGGGTCAGAGAGCGAGGGCAGGGGACCCCGAGTGTGCGGGTCAGAGAGAGAGGGCAGGGGACCCCGAGTGTGCGGGT